ACTCACTCACTCCAGCCTCCCTCCCTCCCTCCCTCCCTCCCTCCCTCCCTCCCTCCCTCCCTCCCTCCCTCCCTCCCTCCCTCCCTCCCTCCCTCCCTCCCTGTCACCTGAGGGAGGAAGACAGGAGGGAGGAAGTGAGAGAAAGAGAACGAGAGCGAGTTAGAAAGAGAGAGAGGGGGAGGCAGTAAGAACAGCTTCAAAGAGCCCTTGAGTTGCTGCCTGACGATCGACCTTCTCCTCCTCCCTCCCTTAGCATCGTTGCGAGGATTTGTGAACCGATAGCAGGAAATGAACCGACGGATTTTCCAAGGAAAGCTCCCCAAGGATTTGATTATCGGTGTGCTCTTTCAGCATTGTTGGCATCACTCAAATGTTTTGCTTCATCACGATCTTCACCATTGTCACCTTCACTCACTCTCAACTCTTTAGGATGGAGCACTCGGCTCAACACGACGGCGGGAGTGACAATATTCAAGAGAAACAAGAATGTTGGACTGATGATGACTTTGTTGGATATGATGATCACGACTGTGATGATGCTGATGATGATGATGCTGGTGGTGATGATGATGATCATGTTATTGGTGGTTGTGGTGGTGGATGCGATGGATCGAGATTGTTACGATGGTTGTGATAATGATGAAGATGAAGATGATGACGATACTGGTGTTGATGATGGTGACGATGATTTTCATGGTGATGGTGACGATGATGGTGACGATGACGATGACGATGACGATGATGATGATAGTTTCATCTGACAGGGAGGAGGGATCCATGGTTTCGATGTGCACGTCGAGCTCTCCACAAAAGTCATCGACGACACGGAGAAGTTACGGCAGACCCTCTGCCACGGTGAGACTGGAGGCCACGGCTGAGTGAGTTTGTCACCCGCTCCTTCAGAGCTCTGCCATGTCGCCGCCTGGGTCGTCAACGGCACAAGAAAACCTCCGCATGGCAAGGCCTTCAAGTACTGGGCGAGCATCTCGGCTGCCAGGTGTGAGGACGAGACGATGAGAGGAGGGAGAGGGAGGAGGGAGGTGGAGAAGAATGTGGGATAGAAAAGAATTCAGGAGGAGGAGGAGGAGGAGGAAGAGGAGGAGTAAGAGAGCGATAGGTATCCTGGGATCAAGGTTACGACTTGCCACAACTACGAGATCGCCTACAAGTATCGCTATCAGGTCAGTGTTGCCATCGTGGGAGATTGTGGCAAGAGGGACAGGAGGAGGAGGAGGCTGACGATAGGCAGTGCGTGCTGTGTCACAAGGAGTATGGAAGGCATTCCAAGTCAATCAACGTAGAGACTGCGAGGTAGAGGAGGAAGGCTGGAGGGAGAGCTCCTCAGGCAGCATGGCAGATGCGGCGTGTGCCGAGGCACCCTCATGCTACTGCCGAAGCTCAAGGCAGACGGGACGCCATGCGCTGGTGATGGGGACGGAGGGAGGAGGGGAGGATGAAGAGGAGCTGAGAAGGGACATCAGCGAACCCCAACAGCTACTCGCTGTTCGTCAAGAACAACTACACGACGTTGCAAGCAGAGCACCGGGATAAGACGCCAGCACAGGTTAGGACGAGGATGAGGAGACCTGGAGCTAACTCCCTCGCAGATCATGCAGGAGCTCGGAAGGCTATGGAAGGAGAGGAAAGAGATACAAACTGCTTGATGACATCAGGCTGCTGCGATCCAACGCAACAAACGAAGCTCAACCCAGTTCAGAACGAGAGAACAACTGTCAGCAAGGCTGGTGGAGACAGGAGGAGGAGGAGGAGGAGGAGGAGGAGGAGGAGTATGAGACATTTTGATTATTCTTACAAGAGAGCGGGATCGATAGAGTCAAGTTCTTCTGCAGTAGTTGTCACCTGGCTGTCCGAACAGACAACCTCCACTCACCGTATGTCAGATAGCCGTCCCCGTCGAGATCAGCATAGTTGACGAAGAAATCCTGGAGCGAAAGGGTGACGAGAGGGAGGAGAAGACCGGAGGAGGAGCCAAGACCTTGTAGTCGTCCTTGCGAATATTGTCAAGGCGTTTGAGGTGCGACAAGCCTAGATAAAACTGCGGGAGCAGACCCTTCAAAGATTCGCTGGGGAGCTCAACTGTACTTCACCTCCTCGCTGGATATTCTTCCGTCAAAGTTCTTGTCGAAGTGCTCCATCGCTCTGTCTGTGTCTGCTCCTTTCTCAAGCTCGCGCTCCTCCTTGTACTTCTTTGCGGTTGGCCTCATGAACTCAACAAATTCTACCCGCCCATCATTGTCCATATCGAGCTCTGACATGATGTAGTCAAGCTTCTTCGAGTTGGTCTTGTACCCGAGCTGTCATCAACCATCAACGCTCAGTTGACATCCTGACCCGTGTACCTTCTTCAGCCCTGCTTCGAACTCTTCCTTCGACAAGAACCCGCTGTTATCTGCATCGAAAAACCTTGTGGAAGCATCTGTCATCATTGCGAGACATGTGGAAACGCTTGTCGTACCGAAACTTCTTGTGCGATTTGGTGTATTCGGACCTTTCACTCGACTTCATCTCAGCAACAGTTTGATGCAGATCATCGCCCTGATTCACCGTCACGATTCCTTGGGTTACGTAGGTAGGAGCAGAGGTGTATATCAAGGCTACGAGGGAGAGCATGGTGAAGGGAGGCACGAGCAAGGGAGGAGGAAGGTACGAGCAGGGGAGGAGGAGGGTACGAGCAGGGGAGGAGGAAGCTCTATGTGATGCTGCATGAGGAGCTGCTTGACCTTGAGCGCTGCCGCCATCACCACCAGCACCATCAGCCCGCAGCCACGTAGGGCTGCCATGTTTCTGCCACGCAACGAGGCAGATCGGAATGAGGGCGATGAAACGGCGCCCACCGGGCCCGGGCGCTCCGAACCGTGTCCTCGTACTGATTTTTAACTTAACTTTGAGTAAAGTCTTGGTGCCACAAACTTTTGGAGGCGCCAAAATGGGGAAGGGGATGCAGGGGAGGGAGGGGAGGAAGAGAAGGAAGGAGAGGAAGAGAAGGGAGGAGAGGGGAGGGAGGGAGGGAGGGGAGGAAGAGAAGGAAGAGGAGGGAGGGGAGGGAGGGAAGGATTACGGAGAATCAGGCCAAGAAAGAGCAAACAGAGAGTTGAGGTATTCAATGATGCGAGAATGAGAACGGAGGAGAGACATGTCATAGTTTCACATAAGTCTCACTTCTTCTTGACAAACAGATGGCATCCTCTGTCGATCCCCTCTCATTCCTCATCGATCCGTCCTTCGATCTAGCACAGGACGACTCTTTGGAATGGAAAGATCCGTCACGGAACCTGACCCTTACCCTTGAAGAAGTAGCTGACAAGCCTGATCGCACAATACATCCTGGCAATGCAGACGGTGCTGATGAATTTGAATGGGAGGTCAACAGTTTTGACCCTCAGAATAGCAACAGCTTGAGCTATACGCAGGACTACAACAGCCCTTCCTCTCCATCCTTGATAACTGGGAACTGTCCTCCTCCTCCTTCTCCCCCTCCTCTCCACTCCCCACCAAAAAAAAAGTACAAGACTCTCAAGCTTTCAAGTGGTGTCACATGGATTCAAGGAAACAGGATCGTACAGTACTTGTCGCCTGAAGATGCGAAGCGGAGTGGAGTGACTATATTCATGTAAGCTTCAGAATGAAAATAAAGACAAAACATCACTTGGCAATTGCGTTCATAACTATGTTATGATTTCTTGCTTCTTGAAGTTCACAATCCCGCAGTCTGCAACGACTTTGCGCTTGCCATTCTGCTGTAGCAGATGGAAGCTTGAAATCTGCCGAGCTGTAAAGGTGACGTGACAAATTCTTGTTTAAAAGTGTTGATCTGATTGTGTGCTTGCTCACGCTAACAAGCAATCTTTGCAGGAGAGGAGTTATTCGATGATGTGAACGATCGGAACGCTTAAACTCATCGGCCGATATTTCTTTCCTACTTGGTCTGCTTCGGTTTGCCTTTTTTCATTTCAGTCAAGAACACTAATTTCGACCAGCAACGTCGCAAGCAAAAAAACAGTTTTATAACATGACAGAAATATATTTTACAAGACGATGGAGCGAACTCCTCTCGCAGTGGACTCGCCCGATGAAGAGTCATCCTCCTCTATGTGCCGAGGCGTCGATTCAAGATCCTGCTTCGCAAAGGCAAGGTCCGATACAAATCTGATACCCTCCAACGGTAATCTAGGGAATCGAAAAGAAAACATCTCGTTCAGGTCAAGATCTGACAACATTTCTTGGGAAGGAGAGCTTATGTGCGACCTCTCAACCATCATGACATCATCAGCTGAGACAGGCTGAATCTCCTCGTCGACCTGAGGTAAACCACTCGCCAAGACTCTGTCAATGCCAGCATCCGCCTCCTGAGCTGCTTGACCCTCTGCTGTTGGTAGCTGTCCCTGTCTTGCTTCTTCAGCAGGTACTGCTTGCTGCTCGGAAGATGCACGAGGTGATCTGTTTCCTTCTTCAGGTCTCTCCCGTAAGACGAGAGCAGCTGATGCAATGCCTCTGTCTGCCATCTCTGGCATCGGCTCTTCAGATCTCTGCCCCAATGATGCCAGATCCTTCTTATGCGCAAATTTGTATACAGTCATCGACGCACTTACCGTCACAAGGACGCCCACTCCTCCACCGATGAGGCCTAATATGAGCCCAATGTTGATGCGTTTTGTGGGTGCATCAGCTGCAGGAAGAGGAGAAGAGCTCGTCATGGTGATGGTTGTGGTCGAATTGCCTGGAGGCGATGGTATGACCGGAGGGTCTGCTCCCATGGTCATGTATCCCGAAAAGTGCATGACTGCAGCGCGAGTGAGGTTTTTGCCGGGCACAACTTCGCTTTCCTGGCGCTCCCAAGGAGGAAATGCCAATTCGTTGTTGTAGAAGATAGTCGGATTCTTTCCTGCAGGGATCTTGCTGGGATTGAATGGCGTGAAGATCTCGACTGGTTTTTGGAACCGAATTCCTGAGGGCTCGAACTGCACAATAGGTCCAGCAGGAACTATAACACCTGCTTGAGCCCCCACGTCAAGATTCGGCAGCTCATAGACCTCCACAGAGATTGTTAGGCCCTCTCCCAATGCTCCTGCCGGAATGCTCACGCCGATTCCAGCGGCAGAGGTGATCGTTGTGGGCGCAACGGGGTCAACCAACTTTGGCGGAGGGCTCAACAACTCATTCTTTGTTGCAACTTGATTGCATAGGAAACCGAACTGACCTTTGGAGCACACGCACTTGTCACCAACAATTGTGCCGTAGCAGGTATACTGACAGCTGGGTCCAAAATTGGAATCTGCACAGACTTGTGGAGGAAGGTCTTGGAACGAGAGCGGAAGCGTCACAGACAAGGAAGGAACTGGTCGTCCTGGCAAGTCTGCGATACACAAGGAACAATACAGTTGGATATCGACTGAGCTGCTGGGAGTTGGAGGGCTAAGGCTTGCGACTGTGAAAAACAAGTAGTTTTGGTCAGGAATTGTAACATCGACCACAAGGGTATTCGAAGTCTGGTTCCAGGAGGCTTCCCTCGCCACTCCTGAGCCTGACACGTCGATGAGACTCGCGTTTGTGCGTAACGGTAACCCCTGAATTGAGACTTTGATCGCTGTCTGGAAGAAGAAGTTCGCCAGGACTGTGATTCTGTACTCACAATACGAGGCAGTGTAACTCGTGTTTGCAGAAATCTGTATACCCGAAAAAGCAGGCGGAGCAATCAAGGTACATGTCGACTTGGTTGTTATGACGTCGTTGACACAAGTCCAAAGTCTCTCGACCCGGCACTGCGAATTACATCCATCGTAGGAGACAGTGTTGCCATCATCACATCCTTCGTCCCATGCGGTAATCCCGTCACCGCAAACCGAAGCCGCAGTAAACGATGGAGTCTGGGACACTGACTGTTCTATCGTAGACTCACTGCCCATTAACGAAGTTGAAGTCTGTGGCAACATTGTGCTCTGAGTGACCACATTTGACGTCGAAACATCAGGCGCGGTGGGTGCAGGCGTCGTCGTGTCAGGCGCGGTGGGTGCAGGCGTCGTCGTAGACGTCGTCGTGTCAGGCACGGTGGGTGCAGGCGTCGTCGTAGACGTCGTCGTGTCAGGCGCGGTGGGTGCAGGCGTCGTCGTAGACGTCGTCGTGTCAGGCACGGTGGGTGCAGGCGTCGTCGTAGGCGTCGTCGTGTCAGGCGCGGTGGGTGCAGGCGTCGTCGTAGACGTCGTCGTGTCAGGCGCGGTGGGTGCAGGCGTCGTCGTAGACGTCGTCGTGTCAGGCGCGGTGGGTGCAGGCGTCGTCGTAGACGTCGTCGTGTCAGGCGCGGTGGGTGCAGGCGTCGTCGTAGACGTCGTCGTGTCAGGCGCGGTGGGTGCCGGCGTCGTCGTAGACGTCGTCGTGTCAGGCGCGGTGGGTGCCGGCGTCGTCGATGTTGATTGATCCTGTTCAAAGAAGTAAGGACAGACCAACACATGATGACATTCATTGTGACCAGCTTTGTTGTCGATGTCTCGGGCTCTTGCGAGGCCTCGGGCGTAGAGGAGCTGGATGACTCGATCGGCGATGTCTCGGGCTCTTGCGAGGCCTCGGGCGTAGAGGAGCTGGATGACTCGATCGGCGATGTCTCGGGCTCTTGCGAGGCCTCGGGCGTAGAGGAGCTGGATGACTCGATCGGCGATGTCTCGGGCTCTTGCGAGGCCTCGGGCGTAGAGGAGCTGGATGACTCGATCGGCGATGTCTCGGGCTCTTGCGAGGCCTCGGGCGTAGAGGAGCTGGATGACTCGATCGGCGATGTCTCGGGCTCTTGCGAGGCCTCGGGCGTAGAGGAGCTGGATGACTCGATCGGCGATGTCTCGGGCTCTTGCGAGGCCTCGGGCGTAGAGGAGCTGGATGACTCGATCGGCGATGTCTCGGGCTCTTGCGAGGCCTCGGGCGTAGAGGAGCTGGATGACTCGATCGGCGATGTCTCGGGCTCTTGCGAGGCCTCGGGCGTAGAGGAGCTGGATGACTCGATCGGCGATGTCTCGGGCTCTTGCGAGGCCTCGGGTGTAGAGGAGCTGGATGACTCGATCGGCGATGTCTCGGGCTCTTGCGAGGCCTCGGGCGTAGAGGAGCTGGATGACTCGATCGGCGATGTCTCGGGCTCTTGCGAGGCCTCGGGCGTAGAGGAGCTGGATGACTCGATCGGCGATGTCTCGGGCTCTTGCGAGGCCTCGGGCGTAGAGGAGCTGGATGACTCGATCGGCGATGTCTGTACTTGCGTGGTTTGATGTAAGGCTGTGCTTGAGCTGGAAGATTCGAAGGTTGCTGAGCTTTCTGAAGCAGTCTGTGAAACCATGTCATTGCTTGTGAACATGGTGCTGTGAAATTGGGTGACATTCGGTTCTTGGTACATTGTGGTGGTGGTTGGAGCGTAAAATAATGCTGTGCTGGAACTCGAGGATATTGGTGTTGGAGTGCTGCTTGAACTGCTGAATAGAGGAGTTGTCGTCATCTCATGTGTGGATGCTACTTGGTACGCTGCACAGAAAACAGAAGTCATTTCATTTCATTTCATATCAATTCAAAGTCAGTGCAGAGAAAAGACGTTGCTTTATCGAACTTCAGCAGGAATTTACCATACAAAGAAGGAAACAAGAATAAAATGCAAATAAGTAGAGATTACTAACCTTGAGTTTGGTTTGCATAAAGAATGAGAAAGAGAAGAGAGAAGACCGCCGAGGAGACTGGCTTTGCACCATCACGCATCCTACTTTCCTCCCGTTTCCTCACCTCCCTCGCCATTGTCAAATCAACCACCCACCCCTTCACCTCAGACACGTCGTCAACAAGGTGGTAGCACCAACTCAATACACACCCGTACCACCCTCAAAGGTACTGAAAAGGAGGGGTATTTTGTAAACATAAGTTGACCCTTGCCCCATCTTGACCACCCCCACCCCCCTTGTTGTCTGCTGTACTCTGCAACCAGCTGACCCTACCCCACTATCTACCCCTCACGTCTCCACATGAACCATAATGGTTCTTGCAGTACCCCCTTTGTTTCCCTTTGAAGTACCCCCACCCCTAGTGATAGTACAATTTCTGAGGGACACCTTTATTATTATTTTAGTCACCAGTCCCCACAGCGTTGAAAATTTAAATTTGAAAACTTCTGTCCAAAACTTCAAGTTCTGAAGGAAAATTGGTTGGAATTGACTTTTTTTCAACACAGACCCGAAAAACTAACTGTTCGTCTCGTGAAGTTGTTCAACAGTCCAGTGTACCCGGCAACTGGACCACCCCCCCTTAATCCACTGCCGTACCGGGTACCGTCTCACACTGGTCAACAGCTATTTAGTACCCCCTTATCCAACTGAATGGACCCCCTGGTCAGAGGGGAATTCCGATCAAGTAAACAGGGGTATTCAACTTATCCGTTACAGGTCAGTGGTACGTGACGGTTCCCTAGTCTGTACTCAAATTTAAGTTAAAATCAGGACGAGGACAAATCTCAGCGGCACCGGGGCCCGGCCCGGGGGCTGCCGGGCCGGGCCCCGGGCCCCGGGCCCCGGGCTCTTGGCCGCCGCAGTGAGCCTTTTGAGAATGCGGGTCGGCGCCGGCCCGAGCCGGGGGAGGCCTGTGCACTGAGATTCGACCGAAAGGAGCTTCAGCACTGGGGAATGCTCAGAGCAGGGAAACCGAGAAAGGCAGGCAGGCAGGCAGGCAGGCAGGCAGGCAGGCAGGCTGGGGGAGGGAGGAAGAAGAGGGGGAGGAGGGGGGAAGGGAGAAGCAACTATGTGAGACAGCTTGGATTCAGTGTGTTCTGGCTACAGATTTCGTGATTCCCTCCCTTATCTGCAGATCATGGCTTCCAAGTTGACAATCAGTGAACAATATGTTGAGTGGGAGATGGGAATGAACTCGGTGAAGGGTCCGAACGTAGATGATGTGAAATCGTCGGAAGAAGCGACAGGTAAGAGCGGACAGCAGGGCTACTTTACTGTTGTTGGTGACGTGCGGGAAGACTGGGCCGAGAGAAAAGCCTGGATGGGATGGAAGCAGGTGACTGATACTATGATGATTAGAGAGAATGGTTGAACAGATGAAAAGCAGAACGACGAGCAGAGAATCAGAGGGCATGCAGCTGCGATTGTAACATGGTGAAGTGAGCTGCTGTCTCTGCTGACTTGCACAAGGTGCTGGATTGGTTGAGATACAATGCTGCTTCGTTCCCAAGTGATGCTCCTCATGCATTAGCATCCTACAAGTGCTGATCGCTTTTGCAGAGTCTCTGTTCGCCTTCACGTCGGAAGCTGTAAAGGCTTTTGCTGTGCCCTCCTCTCTCTTGACAAGTTCAGAAAGGCGCACATCCTTCCTGTCCCTCTCCCTTCTCAGTCCGTTCCCCTTGGTCCGAAGCTTCACCAGGTATGCTGGCTGGGCCTTGCCCGCGCTGACCAGGAGCCTTGCAGCTCGCCGAGGACACCTTGCATCGCGGAGCCCAAAGGGATGAGACCAGTATGGAGGACTTGTCGTCTCACCGTTATTTGCTCGACCAGTCGAGCACTGAAGCGCATGGATGGGAGCCCGTCACGAGCCAGCGATGGAGCTCCAAGTCTCCCCGCTGCTCCAGGAGGAGCCGGGCTTCGGACAACAGCCCCGCAGCCACATGGTCCAAGTCCAGGAGCACGAGAGCTGCCGGGTCGAGGGAGTGTGAGGAGCATGGAGATGATCGCTACGAGAGGATGAGAGATTGGAACGTCACGGTGCAAATCTCTGGCAAGAGCCTCTTCCCCAGTCCCTCCTTGCTGCTGACGTACGGGCAGGTGCTTCACACCAGAAGCGAGCTGGAGGCCGAGCTCACGTTTACTACGGTAGGGCTGAGGATTCCTTCCCCTTCTGACCCGACCAACATCCAGGTATCGACGTGACTGTACAATTCGGAGATGAGACGTCGGATTGCGTCAGCTACACCATTACGCGCAGATTCAGCAGTATGTCCCGTCCGAGCGTGCGAGCTGAGCTGAGCCCCCTGCAGGATTCTTGTTCCTTCACCTCCAGCTCCTCCGAGAGTTTCCCCAGCTACGCCTCCCGCACATCGAGGGAGGTCGAGATATGATCAGCTCCACTTGTCAGTTCTCACCTCACTGTGCAGGCGGATGGAACATCTTCCGCCATCAGCTGAGCGCGGACTTCATAGCGGAGCGGATGATTCACTTGCAGCACTACATGAGGTTGAGATACTCCCTTGTTGGCGAGCCCCCGCCTCATGCCATCCTGCAGCGAGCTCATAGCGCACGAGGAGGCGAGGTTGAGCGAGTCAGTCTTCGAGTTCCTCGAGCTCAACTCATGGCAAGTCCTCCTGGAGTTTAAGTTGCTGTAAATTCTCTGACTTTGCTCGTGAAGCTTCCAGGTGGTAGGAACCTTGTACGAGTAGTTCATTGAAATTCATTTCCTCATCTCTTGCTCGTGATTCGACAACATGGACTGGCCTCCCCTGGCCCTGAGCATGGTCTGTCCGTGGAGGAGCAAGAGACTTCTGCTGTTGCTGTCTGCAAGCCCGGTCAAATGCCGGATGAAGGACCTTTCTTGTCCTCACCTTGACAGTTCCTTTCGCTCCCGGGGAAGGCAGTTGCTGTTTCGCTAGAGGAGAAGTTAGAGGACGGAGCCTTTCGGACACTGGCAGCACTTACTCTTGAAAAACTTGGCAAGTGCCTGTACCAGTCAGCCAGAGTTAGCAAGGAGGGAAGGGTGAGAAAGGTGGAGGACCTGGTAGCAGGGGCCGAAGCTCGTGGGAGAATCAGCAGTGAGCTTATCGCGAATCCAGGAAGTGATCTGGACTCGGAATCAGGACCCCAGATGTTTCGAGGGTGTCTACCTTGCATCTGACGTTGGAGCCCTCGTAGCGCGAATCTACAAGCAGAATGGCAGCGTAGTCGGCGATGTGGCGGATCGCTCGTCCGATGCACTAACAGCAATTGAGAAGGAGCGAGTATCTCAACTTCACCCTGACCTGATTGACTGCCTTCATGCACATATTCTGATAGTACGCCTGTCCAGCCTTGGCCCCCGTCAGTGTCGGAGAGGATTTGGAATCCTCGCCCTGGGAGAAATAAGAACAAAGGACTCGAGCGCATTGGAACGACCACAAGTTCTGTCACTGGCGGCAGACTCTCGACATACTTGATCTTCTCCAGCAGCCGTGGGTCTCCCCTGCCAAAATGATAAGACAGCTGTGTGGGAAGTGAATGTTAAGTGGAGTTGCTGAAAGAGCAGTGAGATGGACCAGAGGAGGAAAAGAGGAAGAGAAGATAAAGAGGGAGGAAGGAGGAGGTTGGCACGGCCACAAACCTGTTTGCAAACGGCAACCCTACCACAATGACACATCGGCCAAGCTCGTCACTGTCGTAATCATAAATCAAATCATCGCAATCCAGGGCAAGCTCGTTGACTACCTGAAGTTGATCCCTTCGCTTAACTTTCCTCCGACTACACATAGTAGGATTGCTCCTGTCACTGGAAACCGATCGGTCACCCTGTTCAATATCCGAGTATCAACCATACATGACGAATCCTTCGGGCTAGTATTCTCGGTGCCTTGGGTTCGAATGCACTCCTCGTATTGTCTGAGGACAGCTTCTACCTCTCCACTCGACCTGGGCTCACGAAAAATCTTTTTCTTCTTCGCGATCTTATCCACCAACCCCTCCGTGGTCCAGTACGTCCAAAGCTGCAAGCAAGGGTGAGCAGAGATCACTTCACAACATGACGCAAACCTCTTCCTCGTAACTGTAAGATGGAAGGAAAACCACGATTCCATCTGGAGTCAACCCACAAATGTTGACGATCAGTCTTCCAATCTCTGATTTTTGCGTTGGATCTGATCTTGTTCCGTGGCGAAAGTCAAACTTGAGGCCCGTCGGTCCAGTGGATACTGTGAGCGGCAAGATGTTCTCTTTGGGGATGACATGCCCGACTGATAGCGTGCGGAAACGTGAAGGCTGAATGGATGGCATGAGCTGTTGAACATACTCCGCCATTGGCTGCATGGTGCCTCCAGCGAGCACGACCGAATGAGCCTGCTGCAAGATCTCCTTGAAGTGAGTCGATGCATTCAGCAGCTGGTACGACAGACTCAGTTTGCCCGTCGCTTCATCTTTGTACAGTGTTATCTTTCCATCCTCCTCGAGTTGGGTCAGGCAATAAAAAGGATTGAAGAGGCTGGACGATTGAAATTTGAGAATCACCAAGCTCATCTTCGCCATCAAATCCAGCCTTCTCATGATATTCGGCCAGCCGCTTTTCATAGAATCCATGCAGTTTCTGCAATATTTTTGACTTGTCGAAATATCGCAGCAACTGGAAAAAATTTACATTATCGATGCCTGCCATGATACAAAATTCTGCAACTGATACAGTTTTGCCAACCACTGGCTTCCCCTCCCCCGAAGTTTTCTTCAACGATCCTTTCTCAGATCCTTTTGACTCACTGTCGATCATATACTGATCCAATTTCTTCAGAACCAATATGATCAGCCTCACATTCTCTGCGTTCTTTGCCGACAAACGTGTGCAGAATCTCTCCAAGTAGTCTGAGAACAGCGACTTGAGGAGTGTGATGGCGGAGTAGGACAACGTCGAGCTGTGCGTAGTCGTTACTGCCTCGATCAAATTGTGAGCTTCATCGATTATTACAACATTCCCTTCCAGTTTCAACCCCAGCGCTTCTCTAGTCGCCTTATGAACCAACGAAGTATAAGGGATCGTCACCAGCTCAGCTGCTCGGATTGCTGCCCTAGATGCGTAGTAAGGACAGCATTGCACTTTCTTGCCATTTTCTACGATGTCCTCGATGTCTTGAACTCTTGCCAAGATCATGTCACGCAGATCTAGCTGACGATCCTGGTCATAAAATGGACAGTTTGATTTCTTCTTCTTCGCTTTCAATGCAGACGGAGCATCCTCAATGTTTGACTCTGTATCCTCGACGCCTTTCTGTAAATCCAGGCAAGCTGCATTGATCCTTGTGCTTGACTTCAAACTAGATACCTTCGGGTTTATGCACATTCCTTTCCGAGATGCTAGCGAAACAGCTTTCAAGTCCTTACCCCATTGAGTTCTTTTGACCTCATTCATAAATTGCGACAGCTGCGAGTGTGTCCTACTGCAGTAGATGACCTTCCTGACGTCGTATTCATCTTCCAGCCGATCCTCATTCTCCGGTTTTTGAAAAAGCGAATCCAGGGCCGATCGAAGTATCTTCTGATCATCGTTTTCTTCATCTGAGAGCAGCAACTTGACATCATCCTTGTTATGATCGTTTGCCTTTGAGCTGTCCCCTGAACCACCACTTGATCTCTTGGAATGAAATGTAGGTTTCGATGCTTTGTGGTCTTTGGATCGATGCATAGATCTTTCTCTTGCGTCATCAGCCATGCGCTTTCTGGCTGTGTCTAGCCGATCCTTCTCCATACTGATCGCCATATCTCTCTCTTGCTTTTCTCTCTTCCGTGTGTGTTCGAGTACCCAATCTGGGACGTCGTCATCTTTCAAGCCCATGTGTGTCGTGTCTTCCTTAACGTAGACAGGATTCTCTTTCAGCCACCTCAAGCTGCTGCAAATGAGACTCATTGACTTTCCTGTTCCAGTGGGGCTCTCGAAGATCCCGACTGCGCCGTCACATAGGGCCCCGTACACGGCTGTCATAAGTTGCACCTGGGCAACAACGACTGAGAAACACATAAATACACCAACAGCTCAGACCTGGACAGTGTACGGAGAGAATGGAAACTTGAATTCTTCGATTCCCTATGGCGCCACCAGGATCAGCAATTTGAAAGGGGCATCTGCCATATTCACCATCTTGAAGTTATCACAAGGGTTCGCCTTGAATCTTAGCTAGTGAAAGATTCTCATTCCTTCAGGTCTGCGACAAGTGATTCAGATGCTAAGGACCATCGGTGAATAGGTCAAATCGACCATTCAGTCGGGTGCAGGTAAAAATTAGGCATCCGATCATCAAAGACAAGGTTTTGATGAGATCATGAGATATGGAGAGGAAAGAGGAGGGGATTAGAATTGAGGGAAACAGGCAGGAAGAAACAATGCAACCGCCCGCTCTCTCCTGTCCTCCCTCCTCCCTCCTCCCTCCCCTCCCCCTCCTCTCCGTCTCTCTCGGGTATCTGGCCCTCTGGCTCCTCCCTCCTCCCTCTCCCTCTCCCTCCCCCTCTCCCTCCCCCTCTCCCTCTCCCTCTCCCCTCTCCCTTTCCCATACCTCAATCGCCTGCGTCCATGCATTTCTGTTTTCCCGCCAGGTACACTAAAATTTCCCGCCAAACTCCTAAAATGGGGTGGGGTATGCAGAAAGCCTTCAAGTACCCTGTGATTCAAGCAATTTTTGGTCATATGGATAGGGTGGGGGTGTAAAATGATTATGCAACAACGGGGGTGGGTGATGACGATCTTCCGAAGAATCTGTAACGGAAAGCAACATTCCGTTGCATGGGGTAGGAAGCAATCTAGGACCCCCCCCTTTTAGAACTTTTCATGTTTCACCACCCGTAGACATCTAATACGCTACCCCCCTTTGTGACTATTCTTCATATGATTGTGTACCCGTCCCGTTCGTATCATAACTACCACCCACCCTGGATTCACCGCCACAACAACCCTACCGTACCATGAGCCTGCCTTACTGTGATTTTTTTCCTTTTTGCGCCAAATGCCCTTCCAATGTTTTGCTCGCAGTTCTCCTTCTCACACTCTCTCTCTCCTCCTCACCTCCTCCTCCATTGAACTTCTCATGTACATGTATGACTATGACTCCTCCTCTCCCATCCTCCTCTCCCCTCCTCCGTTCCCTCCTGTCCTCGTTCCCTTCATTCACTTGTGACCTCGTTTCCCAGCTGCTCTCCTTTACTAATGCTGTGTACATCACATATCCTGCCCTTGTGTCTGATATCAGAATCTTTCATCATCATCATCATCACCACCACCACCACCACCACCACCACCACCACCACCACCACCACCACCACCACCACCATCTCCATCCACTGACATTGACAGCGAATCAAAATTGCATGTTCTTTAGCACTGAAATTTGCTAGGAACCGATTTAATCATCGTGAAATTTCAATATTCTATTCATCTTTTGTTATGGTAACCCTTTAAACAGGCTGCTGGGACCAACCTCTACAGGCTTTTCATGCAATGAGTGGTCCCAAACACACTAAGTGAGCTGTGGCAGGCCTGGATCTTGTTGTTCATGTATGTTTGACTTTATCTCAGGACTGGAAGAGGTACTGCGATCATTCGGAACAAGAAGAGCCCAACCAAGTGCATCACAGTGGAATCGAGGAATGGACAGACCAGAGACGTGACAGTGCCGAAAACACGGAATGATGTGCCGAAATCCGAGAGAGAGTCAGCATTAATGTCCCTCCTTGCAGGGTTCTCCCCGCCGAATTCGGTGATTTTTCTATCTTCCTTTATCCGCCAGACTTAACCTACCGAACGACTGTGTAAGGATGTGCCTGAAGGTCTGATTGTTCCTTTGGTGCAGGGAGGAATGCAGGGAAAGCTGGTCCGGGGCACAAGCAGAAGTCGAGCGCTCGTGGATGCTGCCACCAAGGACCCGGGATCGTTGAGCTTGAAGAAAGCTGCGATCACGAGCAGCCCGACAAGTCAAAGAACTCCTGTGAGCGATGGTAGTCGAGCGCACCATGGAATGCCTGATCTTTGTGCAGTTGACGGCGATCAAAGCTCAAAATCAGATTGTGGACCGCCAGGCATCAGAACCATCGTTCCCCGGGTCCAGCCCGTCAAGGTCTGCTGTGAAGGGATCGACCTTGCTACAGGTCTGTTCCTTCCTGCTCGTCCGGAAACTTGAGGTTTTCCCTGAAGATGGGTTGCAGAGGGGGCCAGACCCGGCGTCTAGGTTCAGATCGTCGCTGGGGTTCGATGAGAGGCCGAGGTCAAAGCTCAGGATGTGTAGAGAGGCAGCTGGTCCCGGCGCTTCCGAGGGGACGCAACCCGCACGTGAGAAGCGGAAGGCGCTCAAGTTCTCGGATCCACCTCGAGACAGCAAGGCGCAAAAGTGCGACACGATCGACTTGACGTTGGACTCAGAGGGCGAGGGGGATGAAGCGGAGGAAGACCTAGTCACCGAGACGGCACCCAGCCTCGATGATCTTATCCTCATCACTGGGTCGAGCTCCACGGGAACATCAGATACTCTTGTAGATCGAGGCTGCCTGACGAGGAAGGAGCTCGAAGGTGAGTGATATTCTGTGCTGTACCACTGTCCTGGGCTGATCCTGTCCTACTCAGCTCTCCAGTCAGCTGAGCAGGAGATGACTTGCGATTTCCTGGACAGCATCTGGGTCGGACGAGACACCTTCATCCGAGAAGCTTGCAGATCCAACAAAACGAGTAGCAGGAAATTATCCAAAGGGAGCCAGAGGGTCTCCACGATCTCAGTGGAAGGGATGGGAAATTTTGCCATCACGGCCAAGGAGCTTAAGTGTCTGCTGGACAATTCCTGGTTGAACGACGAGATCATCAACTCCTACATGGCTCTGCTGCGCCTTAGGTCGAAGATCCATGAAGGGCTGAACGACACGTCCTTCCCTCGATGCGAGTTCTTCAGCAGCTTCTTCTACGCCATCCTGCGTAACGCCAAGGTTCGGTGGAGGGCCCTTATCGAGCAGCGCTGACTGCCATCCAGGGCGGATACTCTTACAAGAATGTGGAGAGGTGGGGGCGGAGGAAGAACTTTCTAGAGTGCGACCACATCTTGTTTCCCATCAATGTTTCGAACATGCACTGGTGCCTCGCCGTGGTTTCCCCGAGGGACCTCAAGATTGAGTGAGAGGCTGATGGCGAGAAGTCTGGCGTGCGACTGAGGGGAGCTGGCAGGTACTACGACTCCATGGGAGGAGAGAACAAGACCTGTGTTGACCTTCTTGAGAGTAAGAGGAGGAGGAGGAGGAGGAGGAGGAGGAGGAGGGGTTGAAGGTCAGCGGTGACTTGGCTGTCAGGGTACATGCAGGATGAAGGAGCATATCGCAAAATAGAGCATTTTCAAAGTTCCTGGAACAAGTTCTTTCGAGGCCCTCCCGATGTCAGCCTTGCTCTGTGCCCCGCTCTCCTCTCACCCGATGACCAGGTGCCGGAACAGAAGGATGGGTCAGGATGTGGAGTGTTTGCATGCGCGTTCGCTGACTGCATCAGCGCTGGCAAGGACGTGAAAAGTTTCGAACAGAACAACGTCTCGAGCATCAGGAGATGTATGTCGTCGCTGATCCAGTCCTGTGACATGTAGCAGTATTCCCCCTCGTCTTTCTCCCCTTCGACCTCTTCCTTCCTCCTCTCCTCCTTGGTCACAGCTTATTGTTTAGTCTCCCCCATCTCCCCTCAGTTTCCTTCGATTTTCGTTTCCTTTCATTGAACTGCTTAGTTGATAGACATAAACCTCCTCCCCCCGCCCTCCACCTTCCTCCTGCTCTTCACAGAGCTCCTTCATGGGCAGAGAGAGGCACTTGGTCAAGGACAGTGACGGAGACGGCCGTCTCCTCCTTGTATCCTGACAGCGGCAGCCGGAAGGAAGCAGTAGTGCCGTACTTGGAGTAGGGAGGAGAAGTTCTTGACGATATCCTAGGAGGAGGTGAGAGAGTGCAACGCCGAGAACATCTGTCTCACCTCCTCGCGGGCGCGAAGCAGCAGAAGTAGATCGAGCAGATCCTGCATGGCGTTAGGGAGCTGAGAGCAGGCGTGGAGGATACTCACAGGAGAAAGAAACAGATGAAGAGCAGCATAGGGAGCAGCCATGAGTTGATAGCAGCCACGAACTCCCTCCAGAAATTGCTCCTCCTACGACTAGAAGTCAGAGCGCTACTTACTAGTTGTCACCTATCCCACCTGCTGTTATCTCCTGGTATCGCCCCCAGCGCCCTCTGCGCATCCCTCCCACTTGCAATGGTGGAGTTGACAAACGCGTTGAACACAGCGTCCCAGTCCGTCTCGCACTCCCCTTGCTCCCCTAGTCCGCATCCTCGCCTCACCTTCCTCGCCTCGCACGTCAAGCTGCTGCATGCTGCACAGACGCTGTCCGTGGTGGTTGTGCACTCGCCTCTGGCATACTCCTCCCTCCCACACGCCCTGCATGGAGAACACTCTGTGCGGTAGGCCGAGTTAGAAGCAAATGAACCGCTCGGGCAAGGGACGCATTCCCCCGCTTCACTTCCTCCGCATCCCCTTCTGTACATCCCTGGGTTGCACGAAGCGCAAGCAGTACATATCCTGCTGACCAGCTGCGAGCACGTCTGCAAGGCGTACTGGCCAGTAGGACATGGCGAGCAATCTGTGCCGGAGGTGCCGGAGGGACTGGAGGACGTCTGTGCGTTCCCTCCTGGGCCTGACTGCGTGCTCTGCTGAGGCCCCGAAGATCCACTCTGCCCCCCCCCACCACCACCCGCATTTCTGCCATCGTGACCGTCGGCAATGGCGATGAGACCTGATCCGGGGTTGAAGCACCTGCAGGCGAGAGTCAACTCCTCCTCCTGGCCGCATCACTGTACAAACCAGGTCGTCGATCCTTTCACTGTGCTGGATTGGCCGACCTGTCAAGGAATATCACCAAGGTGACAGCAGGAGACCGAAGATGGTACCAAGGCGATCCATAGGGGGGGCGGAGTCTGCCATGGAGAAACAGGGCTGGGAGGAGTCGCTGGCTCCATGGCAAGCGATTGAGTCACCGTCACTTGACCCGACTGACGCCAAGGCCGAGGGGTCAGCGGAGGCGGGAAGCAGCGAGGAGGCAACAGACCTGGTCCGCCAGAGTCTCTACGGTCGTTGGGATGCCGGAGGCATCAGCAGGAAGGAGCTGTCCAGCAGGTTTCGCTGCGTAACAATCGGCCTTGACAAGACCAGGGACCAGGAACACGACCTGACGCATGTCAACGCCCCCCCCACCAAGCAAGACGGATCACCGCACCTTGACTGAAGTGTAGGTGGGGCAGTACGAGAAGGAGCAGGAGGGCAGCGCGATGGCCGACATGAAGGTTCCGTCTTTCATGCCGTGCACGCCGAATTCCAAGGTGTATGAGATCTTGATGTTCAAATCCCTGATCGCTACTACGTCTTCAGGCCAAGCATCGATGGCCAGCCTGCAAACGGACAGCCCAGGGTTGTCGTTGCTGCTCAAGACTTCTTGCGTATGAGGAACCTGGAGCACGCAAGGTCAAACCCATAAAGCAGGAGGGATGGCAGACATACTGCAGCTTCGTTGACGACGACCTTGACGTTGGAGATCGCGCACTGGAAGAAAACATCGCGGTACATCCGTCTCACTGCAAACTCTCGTCGCACAGTCGACTCCTCCACCACATGCTGCATGTTATGTCCATCCAAAGTCACCGAAGCTGACCACTCCATAGCCCTTGCTGCCAGCTCCGAGCCCTTTGAAGCATCGTTGATCAGCATCTCTAGGACAAGGCTGTGATGTAGCGTATCATAGGTCCCCGCTGACAGGATCTCTGCAGAATGGAGTACCAGTGTCACGAGCAGCAAGCTCCTCACGTCCTTCATCTTCAAATCACGCCGCTGAAACTCCCTTAGCCAAGACACACTGATGAAAAGATTCGGGTATTGTCAAACCATCACCGGAGGTAGGATGTCTGGAGCAAGAGCCTCAGTCAGCTTGTCTGTGGCTGTCCTCCGAGCAGCCGCCCCTCTACCTGCTTTCCGACTTCACCGCCCTCCCCCCGATATAGAAACATGGCCGGTTGACTAGCGGAGCCGCAGAACCGAGTGAGTCGGGCCAGCCCTTACTGACTGAGTCACGAGTCAACTCAGTCCGGCCGCGATCCCGGTCCGCTGAGGCTCACAGCCCGGCGGGCTCGGACCGTGGCCCAGATCATCCGGGAGCCAGATCCAGGAGCCCCCACCGGCTGGTGAGCCCCAGCCTCTGTGACTCGCAGGTGCCCGTCCGGTCGCCACCGCACTGACACTGCCGACCGCCCGGGGCGGCCGGCCCGGCGGCCGTGACACCGACGGTCGCCGCCGTGACTCGGCGAATGATCGCTGGCATCCCGGGCGCGCTTGGGACAGCAGTCGGCAGGATGATGTCTGCTGAGTACCGGGGTTGGTTCAACGTCACATTTTTTAACGAGTCTCGCACCGCGGCCGGCGAGCGTGACCGTCTCCCGGCCGGCACTGGGCCATGCCGGGCCCGGCCGCACTCAGTGATACTCAGGCATTATGCTCTTTTCAAGGGATAAGAACCCCTACTCGTGACTGGCCTCAGTTTACTACCGGGTGACCGGGGCCGCGGGAGCTCAGTGATCGGGGAGAAAAAAACCTCTTCAAGTCAGGCTGTCGAACCTTTTCAACCGTGCCCTACCCACCGGGCCCCATTGATCTAAGTTTGTGGGAGGACAACGGGGTCCTGAAGGCAACTTGCTATTCCCCCGGCATCTTTTTCTTACGGGAGAGGCCCGGCGAGTTTGACTGTCAGTACCCCACCCCCCTCTGAACGAGGCTGCCAGTACCCGATACAGTACCCCCTGACCCCCCAGTGTGATTCAATGATTGAACGCCCCCTTCAACCAGGGGTCATCGCAACTTTACTGTTCAATGGGGACCGCGCGACCGGCCTGTACAGTACCATGGCACTGGATGGTGAAGATTTCCTCTTACCCTCCCCCTGAAATATCGCAGAGGGCCTTCGCTTCCCATCATGTTCCCGCAGGCATCTTTGGGCCTTCCACCTTCCAGGACCCCCTTTGGAACCGCGGCCCTCTTGCGTCCCTTTGCCGGTAGTAACGACTCCCCACCCTCAGGCCCTACCAGGTACGGGTTCCACAGGTCACCGTAGTACCCCAATGATTCCTGGCAATTATTGGCAGTACCCCCACCTTTGTATAGATAGACCCAGGCCTTACTACCCGTGGAATTGAGTTGCACAGACAACCCCACCCCCATGGACCATGGGACCCTCCCTAAGTCTTGGGACTAGTGGAGGCAGCTGCGACTGGTCGCTGCAAGGGACCGGCGGGCCTACTAAGGTATAGTCAAGGAAGTTACGCCCGTAAGACCCATTGGCATGCTCCTCGCCGTCCTCGCCCTCGCAGTATCGCTTCTGCTTGCAGATGCTTCTTGTCCTGAGTCCTCTCAACAAATAGCAAGATTCCTGCTCGATAAGACTAAGTTTTCACCCATATTCGCGTCCTTCTGATCGGTCGAACTGCTGCATCTTCCTCAAGAGTGTATCTTTGACGATTCATGTGCCGTATCTCCTTTTTCATTGCTTTAAAAGGCCCTTGCGGTATCATTAGAAGGTCTCAGCATATAGGTCGCTGAAACTTCATTCATCACGGCTTAGAACAACAATTACTTGCATGGTTTACATGCAATATCACGCTTGTTTGCATGTCCATGCCAATCCATGGGTGTGACAATCAAAGTTTTGTCTCTCTCTTGATTATCATTTATTTGCCAATCGTTGTACATAGTCGCACATGGCAAGACAGATCTCTTCCTCCATATCAACTTTAGAGTTCTTAGATAGCCTGTCACCAGCATGCGCCTTGTGATCAAATACTCTCTTCTTCCTCTCTTCTCTCTGTTGTCATACTCGAGCTAATAACATGTCCTTTTGCAGCAGCTGAAGCATGTCAAGCATCACCTGCGATCCTGCCATTTACGGCGAATGGTCAAGAGAAAATCAGTTCTGCGTTGAGAAGTCTCTGATCACCTTGGACGGCATCAAGTATGTGCAACTTGTCATGGTAACGAGTTTGTTTTTCATGCTTGTTTCTTGCATTGAAATCGCGAGACAGGCGGTTGTTTCTGCATGTCAGGTGTTCTTCATGGTGACACGAGCGCCCAAAGTCCCATGGGAGGCAATCTATCTCCCGACAACAGAGATGATTACATACAGCTTGGCTTTCACTGGCAATGGTTACATCCGAGTTGCTAATGGAAAGTACCTTCCATGGGCCCGTATGGCTTCATGGTTATGTACTTGTCCCATCATGTTGGGTTTAGTGAGCAACATGGCGCTGGTGAAATACAAGGTAACAACGAATGACATGCATATCTTCTTTCAATGATTGTTGTTGTCAGAGCATCCCTTTGAATCCAATGATGATCGCGGCAAGTAGCATTTGCACCGTATTCGGAATTACTGCATCTGTCGTTCTCGATCCCCTGCATGTATGGCTATATTGCTTCATCTCTTCCATCTTCTTCATTTTCGAGATGGTTGTCGCGTTTGCAATCTTCGCGATAACAATTCATGATTTCCAAACAATCGGAAGCCCAATGTCACTCAAGGTGGTTGAAAGACTGAAACTCATGCGTATAGTGTTCTATGTATCCTGGATGGCATACCCTATTCTTTGGAGTTTTTCTTCTACAGGAGCGTGTATTATGAGCGAGAACACTAGTTCAGTGCTGTATCTTCTCGGAGACGCTCTTTGCAAGAACACTTACGGAATTCTCCTGTGGGCCACAACTTGGGGGCTCCTGAATGGAAAGTGGGACAGGGATTACGTCAAGGGCAGGAACGTGGACGGCACTTTGATGCCAGAGTATGAGCAGGACTTGGAGAAAGGGAACACAGAAAGGTACGAGGACGCAAGGGCAGGAGAGACCTTCGAAGTCAAGATGTTTGGAAGGACCTTGACCTCTGTTAGGAGGTCCAGGAGGAGGCCCAGGCGCGACATCGTCTTCAATGGCGGCGACCGGAACAGGTTGTCGGACTCTGACTCGGAGAGGAGGAGGAGGAGGAAGAAGTACCAGCGCAAGGACAGCGAGTCGGAGAACTCCAGCGACGAGAGCATGGGCTCCGAGCATGAGAAGAACAGACGCAAGGGCAAGAAGAAGAACAAGGAGAATCGCAGGTCGGCACCTCCCAAGGAAGATTCAACCTCCGACACACTCCGAGACGCCGAGATCAAGAGGATTATGGACCTCATGAAGCGAAATGCTGGCAGCGACATTCCCGGCCTTGATGGCGATGGAAGGCTGCGAGATGATGGTGGTCTCATACCCACGAGGAACGAGGAGCATGATGATTCGGCTTAGGAGAATGAATTCAAGCATCTACACACCTGCCTCTCCCCCTCTCTCCTTCTCGTCTTTTCGCTAGTGGCTGCGGTCGCTAGAGCTATTTTACACTTGCAACCTTGTACCACGCAAAGCTTCTTCATGTTGCCATCACTGAGATTTTCTCACTGACACGTCTCCCTGAAGCTTCATGATGGATTCTCCTCACCATAATTTCACGATTACGTTGGTCCTTCCATCCCGCCTGAAGGCATGATCGTTTCATCTCACAAGCCATCTCATGTGTCAACATCCATTTCCCTTCCTCCCTCCCCCACAGCGTCTCCCTCCTCCCTCCTTCATAGTCCACATTCCTTTCGTTCCTTCCCCCGTCTCCTCTACGGATCAACCCGGCAATTCTCCCCGCATCGGATCCCTTCTCGCATTCTACCGCCATCCTCGTACCCTCCTTTCTTCCTCAGTCTTCCCTCGCATCCTCTGCCATCTTCCCTCGCACATCCCACTGTACAGGCTTGCTCGACCCGCATCCCTGCCCCCCCCCCCCCCCCCTCTCAATAAATAAGAACCCCGCACTCCAGTGGGCGCATCTCAAAAGCGATTCATCCCTGCCCTCCTCCCGTCCTCCTCCTCCAGCCTCCCTAGCAGGAGCGACAGCTGATCTTGCCTCGTCTCCTTCTTGTCCTCGTCCCCTCCATTGCGCCCACAACTCGACCGTATCAACAGTCAGCAATGCTGGGAAGAGCTGTTGCCTTCGCTTTCCTCCTCCCCCTCGTTCATTCCTTCAGCCTGCACGGACTTGGTGCAGTGCCGCGATCGTTGCCCAGGAAGGGCCATGAATGTCGCAACCATCGCAGCACAGTCTGCCTTGCAGGCTCTCGGGCATTGTTGCTTCCCAAGCCGTGCAGCTGGTACGCCATGTCCGGGGGGCATCACGACAAGAGGAGGAAGGAAGCCAGGAAGTTGAAGATAGTGAGAGCACACCTTGTCATTGTCATTGCTCTCCCTCCCTCCCTCCCTCCCTCCCTCCCTCCCTCCCTCCCTTGCTCATCCCTTCTCCGCCTAGGGGGACGTTCCGGCAGGGAGCTCTCGTGTGAGCAGGAGGCAGTCGGCCACATCGGGAAACCTGCGACTGACTCGGTCGGACATCGAGTCAGGCCTCGCGATATCGGGGACGAGCAGCAAGTTCTTTCGTAAGCTGGTAAGGCACTGCGAGCATGCCATGACGACAATCATCGGCCTCCTGTGATGTTTGCAGATCCCCTTGCGCGACATCGGCATCGAAGGGGTGGAGATCGACAAGAGAGATGACGGCGATCTTGAGGTAAACCTCCTGCTTCTCTCCATGGTGCCTACGGCAATACTTCTTCTCATGTGATACTCCTCTGCAGATTGACATCGAAGTCCAGCAAATGGCTTCGGAATACTTCCTCAAGGTTCACATGCAATCCCATCTACTCTGCACTTGCAACAGGTTGGTCCTCTCGTGAGGATGCTCTAGTTGCTTTGTGCTCTTCTTCTGTTCGCTTTTTCTCCTTCTGAGAATTCACCAAGATGTCTAGAAGAATTTCATCTTCCCATCTCAAGTGATTTCTCGCTTGTGCTTGCATCACGGCGGAAGCTCTGTCAGGTGAGGAGCAGAAGGTCCGCTTGGTTGGTGTAACCCTGCGTTGCAGATCGCGAAGAGAAGGGCAGACGACGTGAGTGAGATCTCAGAGAACAAAGGTTTGGCTTTGCGCCTGCGCACGCTGCTGAAACCTGAGTAGATCTGGTCGACGATTCCATCATTGACTTCTCAGCTGGCATCAACTACATCGATCTTGACGTAGATATTCTCTCTGCGCAGCTTGCTCTGATGATAGCGTTGCAGCCTGAGGTTGGAGAGTCGCTAGGAGGAGCGATCCCCCTACGAAAGGTCTGTAGTCCAACCTGCAAGGGTCGCTGCGCTACATGTGAGTCAAACGACCTGAGCCTTCCTACGCAAGATGGAAGCCTGACTGACTTCTGGTGAAGGTGGGCAGAACCTCAACCTGCCAGGGAACACATGCCGATGTCGCCGTGTGCCACAGGAGGAGAGACAAAGTACAGGTGCCCAGAGCTCTTTTCACGCTCTCATATGCGTCAAAGACCTCACAATGTCTTCACAGGCAGTCTCAACATGGCAAATCTGCAGAAGCTTGCATCTCTGCGACGGCAGCTGAAGCAGGAGGAGGACGAGAAGGAGGAGGGCGGAACATGAGAGTAGTGCCGATAGAATAAAGCACATGTCTTAAGCATGGACGAAACAAGTCCTCGGTCTACACGGACCCACGGTTGTATTTCTACGATGCGAAGGGTTTTAATAGATGTTGATGACATCTCCGAGCCACTCGTTCTGGTACTCGGTGGGGTCGACAGGCTGTTCGTACAAGCCGAGTTAGCTCTTCTTATTCTTCCTCTTCCTCCCCCTCCCTCTCTTACCTCAGTGATGTGGTAGGTCACTGGTGAGTCATCGAGGTCGTCGTAGATGTTGTCGTAGACGCCGCTGGGCATGCCCTGGAAGAAGGAGGGCATGCCGTCACACCAGTGTCCACCCCAGGTCCATGGAGCATCATCGAGCATCGAGGATCTCTTAACGATCTTGAAGAGGGGAGAGCGCATTCTGTTTCAATAAGGTCAAATCAGTGCGCGAGTTATACAACCTAACGTCTTTCTCGACCAATCTCTAACTACTGCAGAGTTCAGCTATCGATCGTCACGGTACGTCGATAATGCACAACATCGCAGAGATACATCAAAGACCAAATTATACTGGCTTCACATCCAATCGAGGCTCAGGAAACCATTTCGGCAGAAAGTGTACCTCTTGGAAAATTCACGGTTTCCTGCAAAGCTTTGACAACTTCCCTTCCAACATCCACGGTAGGAATCTCTGATCAGCTGCATGAAGGCTTGTAATTCCACTACACTCCTCCTCTTCTCCTCCTCTTTTCCTCATCTTGCTACCTCCCTGTCCTCAACTTCGCTGCATGTGCATTGCGATCTGAAACATCAAATGATGAAGAGACAGCGCGCGGGCCACATCCCCTTCCTAATCTCCTAGGAGCACTACCCCCTACCCCCCCTTCTACTACAATTGAACGCCACCCGTATTGTTTGTTTTGAGTAAACTTTAGTATGCTATACTTCATCACCCCTGCTTCAAGGCGAGTCATATGTATCCCACCAGGGGTAGGGGTAGTCAAATAGCGAAGGGTCACTGTTTTGACTCTTGGATTGGTTCTAGCGAGGTCTTAGTTTGAAAATACTCCAGTAGAACCGGGTCCTAGTAATTTGTCATGACCTAGCATAGATTTGGATTCAAAATGTTTATCTGCTGTGTTCAATTTGAGCCCTTTCGAAAACAAGTGATATCCATAGTACCCCATAGATTATCGATAACATTTGGGGTAAGGGGACACATGTTTGAGAAAACATATTTTTCCATAGGGTAGTACATGAATTTATTGGTTTCAAAGATTTTCATGACCATCGTGAAATATTTCCCGGAGAGTTATCAAAAGACAGCCGAAGCGTACGAAAGGTCACGAAGGTAATGCAGTAGTCCACTTCCTCTTTGTCGCATGTTGTTCTCCTTTCATGATCGACTCCTCGTCCACCCTTCTTACATCCTCCATCAACCACCACCATTGCAACACTCTTGCTCTCGTTTTCCGCTGCCTCTGCTCTTGATTCCGCTGTCCCCTTCTCTTCATCCTGAATCAAAACAACCTAGCTGTCTTGTTGACGTCAACTTTGAACCCCTTCGTTTCTCTTGCTCCGACATTTCGGATCGAACCCTTTCTCGTAGTGATGTTCAGGGAGACGAATTGATTGCTCTTTCGTAACAATGGTTTAACATTGTAACAATGGTTTAACATTGTAACAATGTTCGGAGTTTTCCTGTGGCTGTGTGTGCCACAAAGCTTGTTTGGAATGTGTATCATGCTCCTAGCGCTCCCTTTCGTGTTCAAGATGAAAGTTGAAAGATGCATATGAATCAGGCTGTGATTGCACTGTGCCTCCTCCACTTACATGAGAGCACGGTATTCTGTTGCAGTCATTCACGCTTGGATGTATACGAATCCTTGTTTCATGGGATTCGCTAGATTGCAAAGCGACCATCATGCTGACAAAGCATTTGCAGTCAAACATGATGTTCAAGGTGTTGCCAATCCGCTCCCTCGAGCTCGCCCCCTGGACCTGGAAGAGCAGCTGGAACAAGGACATGCCCTCCTTCTTCCAGGGCATGCCCAACGGTGTCTACGACAACATCTACGAGGACCTCGATGACTCACCTGTGTCCTACCACACCACTGAGGTGAGAGAGAGGGAGGAGGAGGAGGAATAAGAAGAGCTAACTCGGCTTGTACGAACAGCCTGTCGACCCCACCGAGTACCAGAACGAGTACATTGGCAATGTCATCGGCATCTACTAAGCCTTTTCTCTCCCCGTTGCTAGTGTGTTGGCAATAAATTTGATACATACCTGAGCAACGTCGTGTGAGAGTTGACCACCCCCACATCTTACTTCCTCGAGGGTTGCGGTTGCTGTGAAGTCTTACACGTCATGCGTTCACCTCTCGCCAAATGGGGCAGGATTGGCTACAACCTCTCTGTTGCGTTCCAGGAAACAAATTTTGCTGCCTCACCGTCGTCGATACAGCTTACGGAATGATCAGCCAATATCACCAAATGGTGCCCCTGCAGCAACTAGACGCCAACCAGAATCTCCTGATCCTGCTGCTGCTGCTGCTGCTGCTGCTGCTGCTGCTGCTCATGCACGTCAATACCCGCCTCGTTCTCCTCCTCATCGTTCTCCTCCTCATCGTTCTCCTCCTCATCGTTCTCCTCCTCCTCGTTCTCCTCCTCCTCGTTCTCCTCCACCTCTCCCTCGGAATTTACTTCAGTCGGGCAACTCCCAAAGTACCCTACAGGGGGGTGGTCTATTATGAATTTTTTCTTTAAGAAAGACGGGGTGGGGGTGGGGTTTGACAGAAAGTTGGCAATGGCTGGGGAGGAACTTGAACGAGGGTGCAAGCTGTGCTTGGCAGGATCAAGCAGAGGAGGTGAGAGATCTTGACAGCAGGGATAGACAATTTCCTCACGATCGGCATGGCAGCCCTCGCAGATGTCAATGCTTTCCTGTCAAGCCTCCCTGGGGCGAGTGTAGAAATGCGTCCTGTTGGCCCGGATGGCACTAACTTGTGTGTACGAGTCTTCCCTCCTGGCTCCTTCTCATCACCCCCCCCCCCTCTGGTCCCTTCAAAGACCATTTCATAAGAGAGTGCACAACAATCTCGATTGATGTACCACATCCTGCCATCTCTCTGCTCGCCCTCCACATCCCCTATCCTGCCCTCCCTTCAGACATCTCGCCCTTTCGCTGGACTCTTCTACCGTTTTTCCTTTTCCAGCTCTAAGTACGCATTATGTGAAGTGTAATTTCAGCAATCTCGATGGATGCAACGCCTGCATTCTTGTTGCAGACGCCAACCAGTCAAGACTTTTGGTCATCTCTAATCCACTTTCACCAGCCCCTTCTCACTCGAGATCCAGGTGTCCAACTCAGATGCTGATACAGCACTGACCCACCACTGTCTTGAAACTATCATCCAGAAACGTGCGGATGGTGCGGATTTTCACCTCCTCCCTCGTCTTTCTTGTCAACCCTGTCATCGTCTGAGGGCCTGAACATCAGTACAGGAGAGCTTCGGGGTGTTGGTGTTCTACTCGTCGTCGCAGGAGGACGAGCAAGGGGCTTCAAGGATCCAGCGGAAGGACAGGTGCATGGAAAGATTGCTCTGCTGTCGTGCTGATGATGTTCTCTTTCGCAAGATTTTCTCCCGAGCTGTTGAAGAGCTATTTGCAAGCACGGGACAAAGGCTTGCATTGGATCTTGTGAGAAAGGGTGCGGAGACTGGATTGTACAAGGAAGATGTTTGAAATCATGTATGAAGGCTCTGCAGTCTCCTGGACAAAGGTCCCCTCACCAGCTCAACTCAGATTCATAGAAGGTACTAGATTCACCCTTGACTACGTTTTGTCAAAGCTTTACGTGACTTTGCAGAAAAGTTCCAACTCACATCAAAGGCTGTCGAAATCAGCACACCTCGATCATATTCAATGGTTTACATATTGGGATGAATAGATGTTTTCATGCAACTGATGCTATCGTTAGGAAATAGCTGCCACTGCGCTGGGAGGGGCGTTAGTTTTGATTGGACTTGCTGGACTCAGGGATTCGAGGAATAAGGTAGAAATAAAATTCTATTCCAGATGTTATATAATATGTTCTGACATGAAACAGGCAGGAGAGAAAAGAAAGGTCGGGAGTAATGTGAAGGTACAAGTGTGATGAACTTGTTGCTCCCTTTCAATCTCTTATTGCATCACTGGAAGGACTTACTTTCTATTGGAGTTGGAATCGCGATCTGCTGTGTAACGGCTGCAAGGATGTCGGGATTGAATAGAACATCGTAATTACACACATCTTCTTCTCATCACGTCATTCAGGAAATCTGCTTGCTGGCTGATAGTCTAAAGCTTGTCAGAAGTGAAACGGAGGTGGGACAAGAGGATAACGGATACCGGACACATTTCCATCGGATACATTCCATTTCCACACTTGAATGGAGCTATACTGAAACATTTCTTTGCATCAGCACTGAAGTTCGTATTCGAATCGAGGACAGAAGGGTGTTCTGTGTTCCAAGACCGATTCCTCGCCGTCATCATGCACTTAGAAGGGAATGCAAGGGCGGTGAGAATAGCCAGGAAAGAATCACGAGCAGTAAGAGGAGCAGGAGCAGGAGGAAGAGGAGGTGTTTGTCTCGGGGGGAGGAGAGATGGAGGGGCGGAGGTTATTAGAGGCGTGCGGGCCGATGTTTCACAAGTTCAAAAAGGTGTGGCAAATGACAACGGCGCAGGGTATGACCCTTGGTTCTTTTTCCTTTATCGCTATTAGGAAAATATTCACCTTTCGTGGTAGAGATGAGGCTCTCCCCTCCCCTCCTCCCTCCGGGCACCCTCCCTCCCCTCTGCTCCTCCCTGCAACCTCTCTCTAGACCTCTAGCGGCATCATCAAAGCATGTCCTGGAGGAGAGAGGATGCTGAGGGTGATAGCGAAAGAGCAGGACCTTGATCGATAGAAATTTACGTGAAGGCACATTGAAAGCACATTATCGTGTGTAGCTCCGTGCTCCGTCACCAAAATCGCCCTACAGCTGAGAGTGGAGGCCAATGATGTACCTAGCTGAAGAGAGGGAGGGAGGAGGATTGGAGTGAAGGAGCTCCTCGGGTGGAAGGATGGAATGACCGTTGGTGCATGCGAACTCACCTTCTTCGCATCGCAAGTTCTCATCAGCTGATAGTTTTACAAGCCTCTCCGCAGGGCACCTCTTGCCGTCAACAAGATTTGATTCCATCAAGCAACCATGGAGGTTCTTTCTCCTGCTCAAGTCAACTCTGCTCACTGAATACCCCCAGGGCTCCGGTGCTGGCAGCAGCGCGCCGAGGGGATCCCAGCAGCAGCAGCAGTCTGGGCATCAGTCAAGATCGGCAGGAGGACAGTCTGCCATGAGGTCGGCTTCCAGAAAGTGAGCATGAGCTCTTAATGCTGTTGCCTCGGATGACTCACATGCTGGCAGCTCCGGCCGGGCGAACTTGAAGCGGCATGAAGGACAAGCGCAGCCCAACTACTTCCTTGCTAAGCCTGGCGATGCGAAGAGGCAGATCCAGTACAGAGAGAATCCCTTCCTCCTGCGCGGTCCCAACATGGGCAAGACATGCCTGTCGTTCGGCTACCCCCGGGGGGTAACCGTCATAGCATGAACCGCGTGTCCTCCTGACCCCTGACGCGACCAGGGGATGGCAGATCGAGCATGTGACTTCCACTGGAAGGAGGACGATCGAGACACAGCCAACGGCAGGTGAGCAGCATGCGCCTGACTGCAGCGTCGCTGAGACCCGCACAGGTGTAAGTTCAACCATGACTGTCGGTTTGGAGGGGGCGCTCAGCATACAGGCAAAGAGATAGCGGCGGAGTTTCTTGTTGCTACTGACGTGCAGCTAGACCCAAAACCGAAGCGCATCTGGGATCGGATGGACTCGTTGGTGAAGCAGAGGACAGAGAGCGAGCGGCCGCTGATGCATGCACTCAGGGTCGAGCTGTCGTGCAGGCCAAGGTAGAGAATGTTCCACTGGACATGCTGCACCCGAACTACCGACATGTCCTCAAAGCAAAGGCAAGTAGCTGAGTATCCTCCCGTGATCTCTTACCGCCCTGAGCTCAGGAACCCAACGTCATGCAGCAGCTTGTTGAGCCGTTCAAGGGAGCTGGGGGGGCCAAGACTCCGGGCTGGAGCCCAGCGGTGGAGATGAACCTGGGGCACGGACATGGAGCCAACGCCTTCCAGCAGCATCGGGTGTGTGAGCTGCTAGGCTTTGCTTCCTCCTGACTAGCTGGGACCAGGGGCCGCTAGGAAGGAATCCTCTAGGACAAGCTGGGAAAAGATATCCGTTCACACAGGTGCTGGAGACTGATGCTTGCTGTCACAAGCTGCATGCGTGAAGTGAGGTCTTCAGGCAAGGCAGAACATGGTGGAAAGTCTATGGCGGGCTGTGGTTGGAGGGTAACTTGTCACTGAGGTGTGGAGGAGAGGATGTGAATGTCTTGCTCTAGGTCTGACCGGTCCGAGTGTTCGCTCCACTTGCTCCTTACTAGCTTCAATCCCCGGTATTGTTTCTTGCAACCAAAACTACTCTCTCGCTCTTTCACTGAACCTGTTTCAGCTCTATCCATGAAGTAGTAGCAAGGCAACTGACCCCAAAGGTGAGTCTGACCTCAATTGCACCCGAGCTAACAACAACACTTGAAGCAAGCTGAAGCAAGATTCGTCATGGCCCTCATCAAGCCACGAGCGCTATCCAGCACATCCCAGTCGGACATGAGACCCGCAACAGTAGGCTACGAGTCTACAGAAAACAGGAGAGGAAACTGGCCATTCGCTCTTGACGGTTTTGAGCAGCCTGACGATGAAGTGAACCATGATCTCATTATGTTGAGCCATCTGACAACCTCACGTGCAGATAGTGAAGGAAGCTGATTCGATCAAGCAGTCGTCTCCCAATGTACTGACGAGAAATACATGGTTTTGCTTTGCTAAGCCAGATGTGTAGGTGACCAAAGAGGATTTCAAGGGGTTCTGGGAGCGTGCGAGTGATGTTGTGAGCGATGATGGATTCTTTGCTTTACTGCTCCACAACTGCTTTCGATGAGGCAGCACATCTTAGCTTAGCTGTGTATTGTTCTTCTATTGAACAAGTATAGAGCAAGTTGCTCCACCAAAATGTTTAGTAGATTTTGATGACATCTCCGAGCCAATGCTCCTGATACTCGGTGGGGTCGACAGGCTGTTCGCACAAGCCGCGTTAGCTCTTCTTCTTCCTCCTCCTCCCTCTCTCTCACCTCAGTGGTGTGGTAGGACACAGTTGAGGTATCAAGGTCGTCGTAGATGTTGTCGTAGACACCGTTGGGCATGCCCTGGAAGAAGGAGGGCATGTCACTGTTCCAGCTGCTCTGCCAGGTCCAGGGGGCGAGGTCGAGGGAGCGGATTGGCAACACCTTGAACATCATTTTCTACAAAAGGATGTCAACCCATTATCACCATTGAGAAAAATTTGATTTGTCGAGATACAAAACGCATGTTACAGAGTTTGTGAAAGCAGGACATAACATCGGGAGCATCGCAGCCAAATCATATTCAACTTTATGAGAAGTTATGACAACATATAAATCACCAAATTCATCCATTTCCCTTGACCATGCGTGGGGAGGAGTAGAAACAGACAAAAGAATGTATATTTTGCACGAAAAAAAGCAAGAGAATACAAGACAAGTCACAGCATTTTTGAAATATCATCGTAGCGAATTTCTTCAAGCGTCTTGTATGAATGCAGGTAAAGGTATGTGAGGAGTGTACAAGAAATGTGAACAAGCAGGCAAAAGAGATGCCTGCAGATAGACAGCAGTGATCACAGAATTCAGACAACCAAGTCACGAAAAGATATTATAGCAAAGAAAGGATGTTGCAAGACTTAGCATATGGTGGTGGATGCGGTAGTTGTGCAGGATAGGCAAATCAACCATACGCACAGTCAGAAACAAACACAAGGCATTTCATTGCATGGGAGTAGCTAGCAAGGAGGAAGGTAAGGGCAAGCAGAAGCGTGTGTATCGAGTGGGATCGTTGATATTCGGACGAGGCAGAGAAAGCAAGCAGCAGCTTTTCTCATCGCGCCACATTCAGCATGTTACCTCTTCGATGAAAGGGCAGGTTGACTCTTGGGCTACTGGTAGGAACAATTCTCCGTTACACCTTGTCCCCTGAAAAGCCATTTCGTAACGACCGTGACCGGTGACCGGACTTGGTCACAGTACCGTACAGTACTGGCGTCCCCGGCCGCGCCACTGTCGGGTGACTCGGACCGGGCCCGGCCCGGACAGCGGTCGGGCCGGCCCGGCCAGTCGTGACTCAGACGCAGGCTGGCCTACCGTACTAGGCCCGGCCCCCCGCTTCACTCAGCGGCCGTACGGTCACCGTCAGTCACGGCCACACTGGCCGCACTGAGCGGCCGCGGCGCAGCGGTACCGTCGTACAGTGACGGTAGAGGCTCGGAGGACTCCTAACTGAGGTTGCCACCGTCGCCGTACTAGGCTAGGCTAGTGCCACTGGTTACTGACTCGCCGGATCTCGCGGCGGAGTCCGATAGTACGAGCCCGGCACCACTGCCCGGCCCCGGCGGCCGGGCGGCCCGGCCGCCACGCCAAGTTTAGTAGCACCGTGTAAGTTAACTAAAGTCGGAGTCCCGGCGAGCCTCGGCGCGGCCACCCGGTCCAGGCCAGAGGCCCCGGCGGTCAGCGGCTTGCTCGTAGTTAAATCATTATAGGTACTCAAAAGAACTCTTTTGGATCAAGGAGTTCCCCCTGAATCACCAAAAGCTACAGTTTGGGGCTCATATGGTTTTACTACTCTATCTTTACTTGTCGGTTGGAAGGGAGGGGGTGGGTACATGAAGGGTGTAATTTCGGTCTTTCCGAAGTTCCCACGGTGGGTGGGGTGGGAAGAAGGTAAAACACTTTTAATTTTGATTTAGTGAGTAGGTGGTGGGTGGGTAGGCTTGATATTTGTAGGGGTGGATATGAGTTTAGTGCAAGGGGTAGATGCAAGCATAGATTTCTTTCGAGCAGGAAGTGTAGGAGGGTGGGGTACTGCCTGAAGGATGCACAGGGATTGAAATGATGCTTGTCATGTGGTTTGGAGGGTGAAGAGAGGAGCAGGAGCAGGAGGAGGAGAAAGAAAATGAAACGATCAAGAGACAGAATGATGATTCACAAAACTTCAGTGGCTAGACAACCCTGATGAAACTGCGGGAGAAGTAAGGAAGGAATGCAGGGAGAGGACAACATGGAGGATGGAGGTAAATCAAATGGCGGTGAGACTCAGAGCAAGAAGATGGGGGGGTGGAGAGATAGAATGCGCAGGGTGTCCGCATTGCCTGAACAGCCTCAGACCATGGCCAACGACTTGCTGGGAAAACGGCGCAGAGCGTCATGGTCAGCGCCTGTGGTCGAAGAACGGAACGGAGAACCAAAACGGTTTGATCTCGTTTCCTACACGAGCCGAATGGCTAAAAATACTCTGAGCGCTACTGGAAAACGACGTAGCTTTGCAAGGCTCGAAAGCTCGCCTTCAACCTTGTCTTCAGGGATACTGCACGCCAGGAGAGGAGCTCATTTGAAATCATGCCTGAAGAGCGACGTGAAGGGGAGGAGCAGTCAGAAGAGCGTGGTCAAGCGCCAGAGGATCAGGTTTGTGCTGCCACAGGAGAAGACCGCCTTGTTCAAGGTTGACCTCCTTGAACCCGACAATGTCTACTTGAGCAGCTGGCTTTACTTCTTCGTTGTCCCCTAGCCTACGAGTTGTGGGCTGGTGGGTTCAGACTCGCTCTGGGGGAGCCCAGTAGGAGCGGGTGGCTGTTTGCCTTGGATCTGACTTGTGACGTGCTGTTCTTGATCGATGGTCTCATCTACATGAACACGGCTCAAGTGCTGCACATGCAAGGAGCTCACGAGAAATTGAACGCCCAGGCTGTCGTCCTCAGAGATCGCAGGGCGATCATCAACAAGTATGTGTTCCAAAAGCTTCCCCTTGAGCTCTTGCCCAGCCTCTTCTTCTTGCCTTACTCAGATCCTTCTACGCCACTCTATGCCTGGTGGATTCTCATGATGCTGAGGTTCCTTCCGAGGTCTTACAGGCTCTATCGCTTCTTCCGATCCATGGAGATGAACTTATCAGTGTCGATCAGCAAGCTGCAGCTCATCAAGTTCGCTCTAGTGATCATCATGTCCAGCCATTGGATTGGTTGTCTTTATTTCTGGGTTGCAAGGATCCAAAATGACAATGATACCACATGGATCTCACAGATCAACACTTTCTTCCCGCTCTACTCCAACGAGACTACCATACCACAGAAATACCTTCTGTGCCTGTACAAGGGCTTTGACGGTCTGTCGTCTATTGGATATGTTCCTGTCGTTCCAAACAATGCTCTTGAAATGATCCTGAGCATTCTGGTCATGTACAATTCAATCTTCATCTCTGCCTACATTCTGGGTAGCCTCTTCCACTACCTGCTTGTCTCGCAGAAGGACCCCCTCACTGAAGCCCATAGGAAGAGGATGGCAGAAGTTATCACCTTCGCAGAAGCTCGTCGCCTTCCAGCCGGCGTCCGGAAGAAGCTCATTCAGCACTTCGAGTTCCAGTACAAAAAGAGCGTTCAAAGGAAAGCCTCGGCCTCGTTGAAGCTGCCCCGGTCGCTTGAGGTGAAGGTGGCGAACTCAAGGTTCAGGCCAACCATCGACAAGTGCTGCAAGCCCAGAGGTGTCTTCTACAGGTGTAACCCGCAGTTCCTCAACAACCTGGTGACCCTCCTGAGGCCCGTCTTCCTTATGCCGGGGGACCAGTTCATCCGAGCGTCGGAGATGGTGCTGGAGCTCTCGTTTGTCATCGACGGCAGCGTGGAAGTGGTAGACGACGATGTCGTGAGGAAGGTGATTCGCTCCGATGTGGAGGACCCTTCCATCATCGGAGAGATTTCCTTCTTCCTTGGCGTCGTGCAGCAGTACTCCGTCAGGTCACCTCTGGATGCCGATATCGAGCTGCTCGTCCTGAGCAGGGAGGCGGCGCAAGAGCTGTTTGCCAACTATCCAGAGCAGATGGAAATCATCACCAAGAACATCCTCTCAAATTTCAACCTGGATGTCTACGGCAATGACATCGTAGACAGCGAGAGGACGGTGGTGGAGGAGAACGAAGACCCCGACGCGATCGCGCTCAGGAAGCTGATTCAGGACACGGTGAAGAGGAGACAGGAGGAAGCTTTCCTCTCCCTGTCGTACGCTGCCACTGCGGGAGACATCGAGGAGGTGAAGAGGGTACTCAGGAAGGGCGTGGGGATCAACTCCTGCAACTACGACGGGAAGACCGTGCTGCACATGGCGGCGTCGGAGGGGAACTTTCGAGTTGTGGAACTGCTGCTTGAGGAAGGGGCTTTGAAGAACCAGAAGGACAGGTGGGGCAACACTCCGCTGCAGGACGCGATCAACTCGAACCAGGGCCCCGTAGTCCAGCTGCTGGTCCAGTGGAGCTGCGAGCTGGACCCTGAGACTTCGACGGCGAAGCTGGCCATGGCCGCGCACCAGGGGGAGCTGGAGGCGCTGAAGTTGATCATACAGCACGGAATAACGCCCAACACCACCGACAGCGACTTGAGGACCCCCCTCCATCTCGCAGCCTCCCAGGGGAACGACAAGGTGGTGGAGTACCTGATCAGCATGCAGGCAGATGTAAACGCCAAGGACAGGTGAGGCAGGTTCTTTGCTAGCCCCGCCAGGGTGACGCTGAAGCAGGTGGGGGAGGACGCCGCTGCAGGACGCGGTGGAGAACGGGCATGTGCACGTTGCAGAGCAGATCCACTACAAGGGAGGCTTGCTGCCGCAGAGCGCAGGGCCGGAGCAGATCTGCAAGGCAGCGTCGAGCGGGGACGTCCCTCACTTGCGGCTGCTGCATCTGTGTGGAGTGGACCCAGGTGAAGTGGAGGAAGGTTGGGGAAAGAGGAAAGGAGGAGGAGGAGGAGGAGGAGGAGGAGGAGGAGGAGGAGGAGGAGGAGGAGGAGGAGGCGGAAGCTTGTCCTCTGACAGCCTCTTGCTCGCAGACAAGCCCAACTACGATGGGAGGCGGCCGTTGCACTTTGCGGCATCGAAAGGAAAGATTCTCGCGGTCTCGCACCTGCTGGGGGTGTCGGCAGATCCCAACGTGAAAGATCGGTGGGGCCACACGCCGATAGACGAGGGGCTGCTGGGAGGGACCTTGCGTCATCTCAAGTGCGCGAAGTTGATGGAGGCGCTGGGAGGGAAGATCGGAGTGTACGGGAGGAACGAGCACGAGAGGGAGGTGTTGGAGAGATTCAACAACCTTGAGATGTCAGATGTGCGATCTCTTATCAAGACGTTGATAGAGAAGGGGTTTGACAACATGCGGATCACCAGGACTTCTGACCAAGAGTACTACACGGCTCACGAGACGTGTGTTGGGCTCATCCCGTGCGCGATCGAGATCCAGAGCTTGTTCCATGAGGTGGAGGAAAAGCTTTCGGAGCAGATCGAGCCGCACCAGCAGCTCTACGACAGGCTGAAGGAGATCACGATGACTTGCGGGCGCGTGATCGACAAAGTGAACAACAGCAGGCTCGGGCCCATCGATGTTGGGATCACGGCTGTGATCGAGATGAAGCAGGATGGGGTGGAGGCGACCTCTCGCTCGTTCTTCCAGAAGCTCGAGCTTGGGATGGACATCACAGAGTTCATGAACGCCGTCGTGGATAACGACTCCCTTGCGCTGTTCGAGGAGCTGGACCAGATCATCGCCTCCATGGAGAAGAAGGGAAGGGACAGCAGGCAGGGGAAGCTGATGCTTGCCAAGGAGTTCAACAAGGCCCTCATGAACCTGAACAAGGTGGAAGACATGTGGTGTGAGCTATGCAACGCCTTCCATGCGGTGGCGGAACAGCAGAACCAGGTGCTGCTGGGATCAGGGTACTCCAGAGGAGCGTTCTTGACATACGAGACCTTTCCGCTGTTCCTCGAGCACATCCAGCTTGAGCTGAACCACCTCGAGATGCGAGAGCTCTTCTTCAGCGCCGTCTCTCCCACCCGGCATGACTGGGAGGTCAAGACCGTGACGCCCGAGTCGCTCCTTTGCAGAAGCAACGTGTTCCGGTCTGCCGTGTGCAAGGACTGCGACGAGGAGTCGTCGAAGCTGTCGACCCTCGTCAAGTCCCAGGTCCTCAGAGTCCTCTGCTTCTCCCACCTCAAGTTCCTGGCGTGGAGGAGCAGGACAGTCCGGCTGACGCAGGGCCAGAAGTTTAAGAGTGAAGAGCCCTCGATGTTCATCGTCAAGTCCGGGAGGGTGCGGACGATGTTCCACAATGACGGCAAGGACATCTGTCTCAGGCTCGAATACGGGGCCAACACCATGTTCGGAGAGGTCTGGCTGCTGACGGGCTTCGCTCCCATCCTCCTCATCCGCGCGACTCAGAAGTCAGAGCTGATTCAGATCAGGAAGTCGGACATGGCAGTGATAGTACAGGTGAGACGGTCTCCTGACCTTCCGCTCTCCTCCCCTCCTCCTCACTGACTCACCTGCTGAACAGGCAAGGTCGCAGATCGTGGTGGCCCTGTCGCAGGCCCTGTCGGAGGAGTCGGAGTTTGACAAGTACGAGAAGGAGATCCTGCAGGACTCCATGCAGCTGGAAGATTTCTCGTCGACGCACGGCTCCTCCAAGTCCTCGGACCCTCCTCAAGACGGGAACGTGGGCAAGAAGGAGGAGGAGGGGGAGGAGGAGCGGAAGCAGCTGAGCCAGCGGGCCGGGTTGCCCAAGTCCAACATAGTCACTTTCAAGATCCGAGCGCTAATGGACAGAATTCACGATCACCTTCAAATTCACTTCCTCGGTCCCTTGCAGTCGATCTCGTTGGCGCTGGCGCTGTGGAGGGGGCTGGCCAAGTCCAACAAGAAGCGATTCGCTGTCGTCGGGAGCTCAACGAGGGGGGAGCCTCGCAGGATTATTGACTGCGGCATCCGAATCATCGACAGCGCCTGGGACGTGTTTGCAGCTGGTTTGAACGTGGTCTACTACAAAGAGGTCGCTTCCGTCAGACAGTTCCTAGGAGAGGTAGAGCCCATCTACCTTGACGTACATCCCAGCTGCTCTCGACGTTTCCTACTTGCACTTCATCTAAGATGTTTCTCCTCCTCCTCCTCCTCCTCCTCCCCTCCCTCCTAATCATGTCATCACCACCACTATCATCCTACCACCTGTACATGACGGTCTGCCTCCAGGTCGGTCAAAACTTCTTCACCACAGCTTTCGATCCGAGAAAGTGCCCCACGGAGATGAACATTGCAGAGTGGTACACGCGGTGGATCAAGTACATCGACGATGGAGATCCGGAGCAGAACAGAAGCTTTTTCTCCAACTCCTTCTCGCTGTGGAAGGAGAGCTCGTACTCTCAGGAGGTGGTGGAGGTGGGCTACAAGGAAGCTGATACGCAGGAGAAGCAGGAGAAGCAGGTGGTGGCCATGGAAGTTATGGATCATGTGCTGAAGATCAAAGACTTGCTCATCAACAAGTCCATTGCTACCCTCCTCTTCCATGATGACCTCCTGCCTGCTTATGAGCCTACTTTCTGTGCCACTGTCGGCAACACGTCCAAGGCCATGGCCCGCTCGCAGGTAAACCCCACCTCCCCCCATAAGACCTCTCGTTCCCCCTGACTCCTGATCCTGATCCTGATCCTGATCCTGATCCTGATCCTGATCCTGATCCTGATCCTGATCCTGATCCTGATACTGTTCTTTACGCAGATGCTTCCGTTCCTCTCCCTTCTCTTGACCGATTTCAACGGTGAAATATGCGAATTTCATGTCAACGAATTCCTGAAGGTCTGTTTACCTCTCCTACCTCTCCCTCACTCCTTGACTCCTTCCCCATCCCTCTCCTCCCTTTCTTCTCTTGTAAATTTCAAGCAGATTTTCTCTATCGATGGTCAGAAGGCAACGACAATAACGTGGCCGGAGATCGACAGGGTTCTGAAGGACAAGCATATCAATCAGCTGCGCTATGAGAAAGCTTTCATCGGCGAGAAGGGAACAGTTTTCAACCCTCTCTCGACGCCCCTCCTCTGTTGGAGGACTGTCCAGCAGGCCTGCGCAGTCCTCTATTTCATCTTTACCCCCATTCAGATAGCTTACCTCCCCTTCACCACCATGACGAACCCTGTGCTGGTTGCGTTCAACGTCACCTTGGACTCACTTGTCTTCATCAACCTCTTCATCTCCATGAACATTGCCTACATGAACAAACAGTGAGTCGAATTTCCATCGCCTCTCTCCCTCCTCTTCCTTCCAAGCTCCTCTGTTAATTCCGTTTCACATGCTCCCTGATCTTGCCTTGCCCTTTCTTCTCCACCCTTTTCTATCACTCCCCTCCTCTCCCTCTCCCGCCCTCTCCGCCTCCACCTCGCATCCTTAAGATTCCCGCAGGTCGCGCTGGGTTACTGAGAGGAGGAAGATAACGAAGCATTTCCTAGCGCACGACTTCTGGCTTGACGCCTTCGTCGCCACTCCCTTCGACTGGTTCGGGTTCCTCAGCGGCGGTTCCCTCCAGCTCTGCAGCTGGTTCCGCCTGCCCAAGGTCCTCTACATCATCAGCATGGCACGGGACTCGAAGCCCGGCTACTTCAACCTCAACACCTCCAACCAGAACGTGCGGCTCGCCATCCTTATCGGGGGCGTCCTCCATATCATCAGCTGCTTCTGGTTCCTCATGGGGAGGAGGGGGATCGGAGAGAGCCCGTCCTTGCCCACCTGGTGAGCTCGAGCTCGTCTGATGTGTTCAGCTAAGCTGCCTGCAGGTACGAGCCTCCTCTAGAGTCATCGAGGCGAGGAGGAGGAGGAGGAGGGTCGGCGACGGGAGGAGGCAGCCAGTACACCAGCTACGGGGGCATCTACTCAAACCAGTCCGGGGCCTGGGACCAGTACCTGCTGTCCTTCTACTGGATCTCCAACACAGTCTCGGGGAACGGAGTCATAGGTGATATGGACCCGCAAAACTACGGGGAGCTGGGCTACACCATCTTCCTGCTCAGCATCCAACTCACGCTGTTCAACTACGTCATCGGAGAGATCTCCACGGGAGTGCTCAAGGGAGACGAGAAGCTACTCAAGGCGAGGGAGGAGATCGGAGCTGTCGAGAGCTACCTGGCTGGCTTCGAGCTGCCCAACGAGCTCAAGCTCGAGATCCGCCGCTACTTCCACGGGACCTCCGGGTCGACCAACTTCATCAGCGCATCCGAGATCTTCGACTCCGTCTCGCACTCCCTCCGCATGGAGATCTCGTCCAACATGACCAAGGAGCGGCTGGACAACGTGTCGCTCTTCCTGGGCTGCAGCCCTCAGCTGAAGGCAAACATCCAGGGCCTCGTGCGGGAGATGCACTTCGGCTCCGACGAGTTCCTGTACCAGTCCAACACAGTGGCGCACGAAATGTACTTCATAGTGTCCGGCTCCGTAGACCAGCTGATGCAGGACTCCGAGGGGAACTACATCCACGACCAGACGGTCCCTGCTGGGGGGTCAGTTGGGGACCTGAGCTTCTTCTTCGGGGTCAGACACATCAACAGCGCGAGGGCGAGCAGGTCGGGAGCGATCTGCCTGCAGCTGGTGCGGTCGCAGATCATGCCGATCCTCAAGGCGTACCCCGACGACGAGGAGATGGTGGCGCAGAATGCTTTGCGGCAGTTCCAGCTCACCAAGTATGCTCGGAGCGCTGCTGGGACGAGCAGGTACGGGAAGAGCATTGCGAGCTTCGGCACGCTGCGGTCGGCGCAGGAGATCATCGAGCAGAGGGAGGAGGCGCTGAAAGGAGACGAGGACGAGATCAGCCTGCCCACGGCGTACCAGCAGTCGGTGCAGGAGGAGGCGAACTTTGATGCGGTCATCCTGTCCAACATCGAGCAGAAGGTAGCGTTCCTGAACCAGCGGAGGAAGGCTGAACATATCGCCGCCTTCTGCGCAGCTGCAGGGCGGGGGGAGACGGACAAGATGGAGAGGTTCCTCAAGATTGGACTGCACGTCGACGAGACAGACTCTAACGGGAGGACGGCGCTCCATGTGGCTGCTTGCGAGGGCCAGGTGGAGGCGACCAAGTTTCTCCTGCAGCACAGAGCCAGCGTCTCGATCAAGGACAAGTACAAGAACACTGCTCTGCACGATGCTGTGCGGCACGGGCACGACCAGCTCGCCGCGCTGCTGCGAGCGCAGAATCAGACGCTGTCCCTCCCCAGCCCGGAGGCAGGAGTTTTCCTCTGCAAGTTCGCATTCAGGAACGAGGAGCAGCAGATCCAACGCTTCCTCGCCAACGGCGTGGAAGTCAACGAGCCCAACTACGACGGTAGAACAGCGCTGCACATCGCGGCGTGCGAGGGGCACCTGGGGCTGGTCAAGTTCCTGCTGGGCAGGGCGGCGGATGTGAACTGCAAGGACAGGAAGGGACGTTCCCCTCTCACCGACGCCCTCCGGCATGGCAGGGTGGAGGTGCAAGACATGCTACGAGACGCAGGTGGGCAGCTGCTGGGGATCGACGTGGCGTCGGAGCTCTGCATGGCGGCAGCGGCGGGGGACGTGAAGGCGATGGACGGGCTGATCAGGAACAGAGCGAGTCCGGACTCGTGCGACGAGCTGAACAGGACGGCTCTGCACCTTGCCTCTTCCAACGGAGAGATCACCGTCCTCGATTTCCTCCTCCGTCGCATCAGCGTCAAGATCAACATCAACCCCGTCGACATGCACGGAGGGTCCCCGCTGGAGGACGCGTACCGGGAGGAGCAGAAAGTCGCCATCGCCATCTTGCAGGCGCACAAGGCGATGAGGAGCAACGACCCGGAGCTGCTCGAGATGCAGGACATGCAGAGGAAAGCGACGCTGTCGCGGCAGCGTCAGCGGCGGAGGCCCCAGGTGGAGGAGACCATCGAGGGGAGTGAGGAGACGAAGGCACTGGTGTGGGTGAGGGGGAGGATGGGGAAGCTTGTCCCGAACCAGCTGAGCATGGTGATGGCCATCAAGGAACAGCTCGACGCCGACCTCGACCAGCTCTCCGCCATTCTCAGCAGGATGGAGGAGAGGGCTGCGGAACTGGCAGTCAAGTCCGGGGGGAAGAAGAATGGAGGAGGAGGAGGAGCGTCGGAGGAGGTGGAGGAGATGAACAAGGAGATCATCTCCGCTGCCCAGTGCTTCCTTACAACTGTCTCAACGTGGACAGAAATCCTGTCTCAGATCGTGAAGTCGACTGGGGAGGAGCTGCCGCAGTTGGGCATCCTCCTGCTTTCTTCGCACAAGTACAGGGTCACGGCAGAGGAGCTCGGGGGGATTTTCAACAAGCTCGTCGACACCTCCAACTTCATGGAGCAATCCCTCCATCGCCTCCTCCAGGTGTGTACAAACCCTCCTCCTGTTCCCCCCTCTCTCCTCCTCCTTGCTTCCTCCTCTCTGCTTCCTCCTTCCCCTCTCTCATCATCTACTGCTCTCCCACCCCTCCTCCTCATCATGACGCGGCGGGGCAGGTGATGGAGCTCGAGCTTCCAGAGGAGTTGGGCGAGCAGGAGGCAGCGAAGAGGAATAAGATCGAGAGGAAGATGATCGAATCTTTGGGGTTCGCGACCAAGAGCATGTTGCAGAACGTCTTTCGCTCCTTATGATTCTCCTCCTTCTCAGACTCCCTCCTCCATCCTCTTCAAGAAGTCGTCCTCCCTTGGCCCATCGTCAGAGCAGCGCCATGGGCAGGTGGAGGAGGCGCAAGAAGGAGAGCAAAGCGAAGGATGGAAGATCAGGAGCAGCAACGGGTGCTGGAGCAGAGCCAAGAACAGGAGCGGGAGCAGGAGCAGGAGCAGGGGCGGGAGGAGGAGGAGGAAGAGGAGGATTCACCTGATTGCCATCAAGGCCTCGAGCGCTACCCACCTGCTCGTGACGCAGATGAAGTCATGACGCAAGGAGAACAGGGAGGGCAAAGACGCGCACCCGGTCTGAGCAGTGACGAGGAGGTACTCGTTGGTGGGATCCTGCGAGGACGGGACGGAGTGAGAGGAAAGAAGGGGTAGGAGGTACAACGGATCGAGGAGAAGGAGCAGGAGCAAGGGAGCAGAAGCAGGACCTTGGAGAAAGAATAAGCGCCTAGCGTGAGGGACTGGACGAGACGAGAGCAGATGAGGCAGTGAAGAATTTCCTTCTCGTCCTGCAGGGAGTGAGTGAGTCATCGTGAATGCAAGGAAAGTGTTCATACCTGTGTAAGGGAGACTTCCTTGTTGTATCCTACAATGTCAATGTCATGTTGAAGAAGTAAAGGTGAGAGATGTTGGAGTGCAGTGTAGCAACCGCGATCACAGCACGTCATGCATGACAACAAAACAAAACACTTGTCTTGATCATCGCAACACACAACAAATGCATTACATCAAACATGATAAACAACAGCAGAGGTGCATGTAAGGAGTGAGACGCCGACCCGCGTAAATATGAGTGGCGGTAGTCAAGATGTCTTTCTTTCCCAACATCAAGTAGGCCATGCAGATTGCCAGCTGCCCGCATCGTCACCAGGAGCATGTCAACGTCATGAGAGTCACCTCGAAGATCAGACATGTGTATGTACAGTCGCCAAAGTCAATGATGCCCTGCACTCTCCTGCGGTCCTGCCATGGTCTTCTTTATCCTCCCGTCCCTCCTGCCGCCATGTGCGGACCTGGTCGATGAGGATGTTCTGCTCGTTGGCGTCGTTCTGGATCACTGCCTGCAGCAAGAGTGAGAGTGTCGACCAGGTGGGAGGAAGGAAGAGGAAGAGGAAGAGGAAGAGGAAGAGCAAGAGCAAGAGCAAGAGCAAGAGGAGGAAGGGGAAGGGAAGGGGATCAGCCAGGAGGAGAAGAAAGATGCAAGAGGGTCAGCATCATCGACGCCAGGAGGAGCAGAGGAGACAGAACAGCACGGCACTGGCTCCATCACCTTCCTCAGGCTCTCCATCTTGGGCGAGACCTTCTCCTCAAACCTCCGTATCACCTGCGAATGAGTCGCCATGAGGAGGAGGGGGGGATGGAGCTCAGGTCTCTACCTCCCTCTGCAGCGCTCTCCTGCCCTCGTCCTTGATGAACTCACTGCTGTCCGTCAGCACAGAAGCTGCCGGGGGGGCTGGCAGGGAGGCACCTGAAGCTGGACAAGCTGGGAACGTTCTTTAGGTCCCATAGGAGATCACGCTCCTTCAACGCGCTGGCAGCTCCTTCAGCAACGAGGGCAGAAGAACGCAGCAGCTCACGAAGGGACTTTGGGCATCGCAAGCAGGACTTGATCCATCTTGCCCACAAACCTGGACGCCTCCTGCTCAGCGGCTGCTCGTAGTCGAGGACGGGGCAGCGATACGCCAGCCACCCTGCTTCCAAGTACCTTCCTATGTCCTGAAGCAAGGCAGGCGACTCCTCCTCCCGCTGGCCGATGATGCTCTGCTGAACTTCACCGCCTGAGGGGCGAGGGGATGGAACACTCACCCCGGGAATGTACTGGAGCAGACGAACCGCGTGCTGACGTGAGTCTGCAAGAGAGGGAGAAGGAGAGTGAGCCGAGGAAAGAAGAGGAGGAGGGAGGGAGGGAGGGAGGGAGGGAGGGAAGAAGAGGAGGGAGGGAGGGAGGGAGGGAGGGAGGGAAGGGAGACGAGCGATCAAGAGAGCATCGGGGTAGCAGCAGTATACAACAACGAGAGTCAAAAACACGCAAAGTGCCAACCGCTTCCCGAGATGCAGGGGAGGATGATACATCCGACACAGGACGTGTTGTCCGCGGTCTTGATCGGAAGCGGCACATCGACAGCATGCAGACTGTGAAGCATGTCAAGACAGGAGGCTGGAGATCAAACTGTTTCACCTGAGGTACGATAGCACGTCGTTTTGTGCGACGACGAGAGGAAGATTGTCTGACTCGACTCCGTTGTGGATCTGGACCATGGTGAGGGAGCAACTTTAGGAGGAGAGAACAACAAGCGCACGTCTGGCGGTCTACAACAAGGGAAGCACATCAAAGAGTTTTGGTGTCACAACATCACAACGAACAAGAATCGTGACAGTTATCAAGAATCACGACAGCGAACAAGCTTCACGAAAGCGAACAAGTCTCAAACAGACATCATAACACCTCATACGATCACATCACACCGCAGCATGTCATCTGCCTTTACCTTCATCACCACGTCCACGTACTGGTCAGGCTCGTTGGCGAAACAAATCTTTGAAAGAAAGAAGTTGCGGTCGTCGTACGAGTCGAACTCGTCAACCTGCTGGACTCTCAGCTGGGAGTTGCCTGGGCACCAGAGCACATCACATGCGTCTGGTCAGTCCTGACAACTCCGAAGACCTCCCTTGCATGCCTGAGGACCTGCGGGGGCGACCTTGTTATGGGTTGCGACCGGGTCAACGAATGCCAGCTTACATCGTCCACAGATATCTTCGCTGGTTTCTGCTCTTTCCTCCGGACTTCCTGTGATTTCATCCTTCACTTTTTTGATGCAACGCAAGAAGCCAACGCCCGCTGTGTCCTTCCTCTTTTCTGCCGCGTCCTCTCCTCCTCATCCTCTCCATCCTCTGCTCGATCCCTATTCTGATCCTTACATTCTTCACTTGTTCTTGACTTCTTGTACGACATCATCATCATCATCATCATCATCATCATCATCATCATCATCATCATCATCATCATCTCCTTCATCTCCTTCATCATCATCATTATCTTCATCTCCTTCATCTCCTTCATCTTTATCCTCGTCCTCCTCGTCCTCCTCCTCACCTCCGAAGCGCTCCCCGACATGTCGCAATCCCTCCACCTTTTATTATCACCCTACCCCCATGAATGACCTCTACCCCTGGTCTCATGACCCTACCCCCCAAAAATACCAATGGGATGATTTTTATGGAGTATATGTTTGGTGCAGAGCACAAATATGATTCTACTAAAGGATAATTCACTATCGTCCTGATATCATGTTGAAGAGGGTCCACTCTTCCGTGAATACCCCCTGCAGCATCACCACCACCCACTCTCCAGGGGAATTCTTCTACCCCTACCTCCAAATATGTCTCCGGCAAAGTGGTTCATGTGCCTTATGACAGGAGGAGGAGGAGGAGGAGGAGGAGGAGGAGGAGTATTTCTCAAGTGCGTACAAATCAACCCCTTCTTTCTCGTTCCTTCGCTGGCTGGGCAGCCCCGAAACCTCCCACCCGCCTTCTTTTCCCTCACTTGCCTCAACTCTCCTCCCTTTCATCATCTCCCTCAGTGCTCCGCCCATCACAGGTTTGTCGTTCATTATCATTAATCCCTCTGCTCCAGCTCCTGTTCGCTGCCCTTGTTTCCCCTGAGCCCGACTGTCTCCACCTGCTCTCTGTCAACTCCTCACCTCCTCCGCCGCCTCCGCCTCCGCCTCGTACTCGCACTCGCACTCGCACTCCTCTTCCTCCTCCCTCTCCTCCTCCCCGCCCAAAACCCATTCACCTGAAGGTCGTCGCCCCATGATGCCAGTGCTGGCGCGTTCCGCAGCAGGATGACGCCAAACACGCACTGGTACCGCCATGAGCGAGAGAGAGAAAGGGGAGCGAGCAGGGGTTATAGGAACAACCAGGACAAGGGAAGCGACAGAGGCAGGAGGATGGAGGAGGAAGAGAGTGGTACGGGAGGACATGTAGTTTCTTACCTGTGAAACGAAGTCGAGGATGATGTATAAGAGAACAGCAAGGTCGCTGGGCAGGGCTGAGCAAGTTTGAGGGATCAAGAAGGAGCAAGCAAACAACCCGACCATGCGCTCCGTCGATGAGGACCCAAGCCCAGGGATAGATCAGGATGGAGAGCTGTGGCCATCCAACTTGAGGAAAGTACTGGCAGTGGAAGAGAGATGGCGGAAGGAGGGGAGGAGAAGCAGAAGGGCCGAAAAGAAAGAGATAGACGCACGGAAGAAGGAGGGAGGGTACACATGGGACTGAAATTGGCAGAGAAGATGAAAGGAGGTACCAGAGTGATACACATCAGGACGCCGTAGAGTTTACGTGTTGAACGACCTTGCCTATTTCGATGTCAGAGCCGTCTCCATCCTCTCCCCTCCCTCCTCTCCCATCCATGAGCTTCACCGACCTTGCAGCTGCAGTCGGCAAGATCCCAATCATAGGAAGACAGACCCCAATGCAGAATGCGTTTCCAAAGACCTGAGATGTAGGTGGTTCAGTGGGAGTCGGGACTAACAATGGGAAGAGAAGAACTAAGACTATCGAACACAGAGTGTGTCACAAGGGGAGAGGTGAAGGAGGACCGCGATCAGCAGGAAAAGTAGAGGCGGAAAGGGGTAATTCGAGAAGGGAGGAAGAGCTCATACCCAGAATCCCCATCGAGAAGGAGTTGAGACAAATGCACCAACCATCCAGCAGAGCGTCTGGAAGCCAGTCAGAGAACGCCGAGGATGGGAAGGGAAGGTGAGGGGGGAACGGGGAGAAGAGACAAGAGGAGCGGGTGAGAAGTAGAGCAGAGCAGAAGAGGGTCAAGGCAACCATCATCGTGTTGCAGAAAAACATGAAGACTCTTGTGCTGAAGCCAGCGCCAGTGATGAGGAAGAGATCGAGGAGGATGAGAGGAGTCGTGACGAGCTGCGGCGGGTTAGCATAGCAAGTTCATCTCACTCACCCGCATCGGTCACCTGCGCAATGTGGCGACCAAAAAAGAGAGGGTAAGTCTGAAGTGTCTTCCATTCTGAGCAGGAGGAGGGTCAAGGGAGGGTACTTGCTCCCAAGTTCACCTACCGTGCGGATTCTGTGGCTCCCCCTGGTTCAGAAGTCAGCAGGTGAAACGAGCGACGTTGAGACTTACCAAGTGCGCAGAGAAAGGTTGAGAGTAGTGCCATGACACTGGAAGAGAAATCAGCCAATGCAACCCCATCGTCGACCCGATCCTGCTCTCCTCCCTCTCTCCCTCCCTCCCTCCCTCCCTCCCTCCCTCCCTCCCTCCCTCCCTCCCTCCTTTGCGCTCCATCCTCTCTTGCCCTCCCTCCCCCTCCCTTTCTGTCCCTCCTTATCCGTTGCGTCCTTTCCCCTCGCACTAAAGAATCGAGCAAACTTCTGACCCTCACCTGCTCCCTGAGGCCCCTTGATTCTCCACAGCGGCTGATTTGGAGGTCACGCAATACGACATCATATCTTATGTTGCCAGCCTCCTGACCTGAATTCCGTTCCCAGTGGCCATGGCGAGATAAGACATCGTAGTGACGCTGCAAGATCAAGTCATCCAATGCTTCAGTCCAGCTTGACCCCGCAAACTTCTCACCTGGTAACAAAGAAGGTGTTGAAGTAGAGGAACCTCCTCGCGCTCTCTGCCCTCAGCCCCCAGCTGCGTAACGCGCTCAGTGGTGGGATATGGCAGGGAAGCATCTGCTTCTTCATCTCTTACATCAGGAACAGGAACGAGCAAATCAGCATCACAGCAAAGTTGAGGTAGAGCAAGAAGACACCAAACGGTGAGACCCCAACAACATGCATGATGTTTCTCAACTCCATCGCCTTCCAACTCTCAAGAAAAGCTTCCTCCATCGCCGACATCGGATCCTGCTCCCCGGAACACGTCCCTGTGCCCCCGTCTGTGTTGGGATGGAAGAAGCTGACGTTGATGGATTCAACCTTCGGACACTTCCTGTCCCGGCAGTCTACCGCAACGACGTACCAGTTGTGGGAGAACTTGCCTTGAATGTTCTTGAAGGCATCGATCTGAGGTGCATGCATCGAGTTCTCCGTGATGGTAGCTTTCGCTGCCTTGCTGATCTCTTCGCAGGAACGGCCCATCATGTTCTTCTTCCAGAACGCGTCCCAAGAATTGTGCTCATCATCGAAGAAGAAGACAGTCATGGGAGGCGAGCTGTCTTTCCTCGTGATCTTCACTGTCAGCCTCGGAAGCTTGTGGTCGGGGTCTTTATCCTCCTCTTCGGTCGTCGCGCCGATGCAGAACATCCCAACCAGCACCGATTCCTTGCCAAAACAAATCGGATTTCTGATTTGAATGTTTGTTGTGTTGCCTGACGCCTGCGTTACAATGGTCTCAGGGAGCTGAGTGAGCGATGGGACCATCGGGAGCTGTTTCAGCGTTCTCATGGGGAATGCTGCGGTGCAGCCCAACAGCAGTGCTACCGATGCACATAGCCGATTCACGCGCATTCCGTCCGGGTATCGTCCCTCCCTGAAAGACCCTGCATCAGCATCTCATACACAACACCAGCTGATCTTTCAGCGCAAACTGCTGTCAGGTCAGCTGATGGGGAGTCAGAGTTCATGTGTTCATGGCATGCACCCTCCTTCCTGTCCATTTCTTCAACCCTTTCCGAATCCTCTCTCCTCCTCTCCATTCCTCCCTCCAATCTCCTCCTCCCTCCAATCTCCTCATCCCTCCTCTGTCATCCCTCATCTCTCCTGCACGTCATTCAAGCACATCTTCTGACTTGTTATGCATGATCCCAACCATTCTCGTCCTCTTTGCAATCCCCGCCATCTGTTCTTCGCCTTCCCAGCGCTCTTCCTCTTCAGCTGTCATGCTGTCGAACCTCGTAAACTTCAACTTTGAGTAAATTTAATTAGTTAAGTGGAAGGGAGAAAACGCGGATAGGTTGGAAAGGCATATCAACAAGTCCGCCTCACTACTGACGTAACAAGAAGAGAGAGACAGTTGAAACCTCTAGATGGCAGCGGCGGTCATCATGTTGCTAACTTAGTAAGCCAACGGTTGACAGTGGGCCACTGTTCACGCCGGGTTCAAGTTGTGCACTCAGTCAGCACTACATTCATGACCCCCCGGTCCGGGCGTCACGTATTTAACTTGAAGCCTGTGAAGTTATAAAAAATCAGTGCGAGGACTGGCATGGCAGGAGACTCAATTCAGTGATTCGACGTCGGAGCCTGCTGGGCCGCCTGAGGTGAGTGTCGCACAGGCCAGCGGCACGCGGCTGGCACTGCCCCCGGTGACATGGCGACTCGTGACTCCGAGTGAGAAGAGAAAACCCTGACATCCGATCCATCGGAGAACCAACCCCCCGGCCCGGCGGGCCGGGCCCGGGCGGCCTGCCGACCGGGTGATGACCGCTGTCCGGGTCCGATCAGGGTCCAAACTTCCGATAGTATGCCCTTACCTGTCCTCGTACTGATTTTTAACTTAACTTTGAGTAAATGTTAGTATGATGCCGCGAGCGATGGCAACGCCAGTATGGCTGATCTTTAACTCAACTTTGAGTAAAGATTAGTATGGCACAGTGACTCCGGGCGATACGACCGCTCGCCAACCCGCCGATCATGAAAGTACGACTATTGGGTGACAACTCGTGGATGACTCAGTACCCCTATTTCTGAGTGTAATGTCCCCTTCATCAGGGGGTGAGGTACTGCCTAGTACTAATGACGATTTTGCCAATGACCACAAGCACCACCCACCCGTATTATGTGTTAAGTACCCCCACCACCTCCATTTCCTTCTCGAACCCCCTCCTGAGAGCCTCGAAACAAAGTACTCTGACCCTCCTACCCCTACTCAAATATTTTCCTCACGCCTTTCTTCTACCCCCTCTCCTTCGCTCCCTCGCTCCCTCGCTCCCTCCTCCTCAAACTAGTCCATCCTCATGGTCCATGAAGCCAGTGCTCTGGCGTGGGGCCTTGCCTCCGCCGCATCCCTTCCAGCAGGGGCTCTCGTCGCCATCATAAAGAGCCCTCCCGACAAGATGTCTGCCAACCTGATGTCGTTCGGAGGAGGCGCCTTGCTGTTTGCCCTCTCCATCGAGCTCTTCGGAGTCACCCTTGCACACAAAGATCACTTCATGATTCACGAGTTCAACAAGGTACTTGCTGCACAACCCTCAACCTGATCCTTCACTTCTCACTTGCTCTACCAGATCATAGTCGTCATGGCCTTCGCTGCCTTGGGAGGAGGAGTAGTCTTCACTGGGCTCGATCACTTACTGAACAATGCTGGAGCTTTTTTGCGCAAGTTTTCTACTCTCCACTCAGAACAAACAAGAGGATACATGGGTAGGCTGCTGGGATCGAAAACCATTTCAGCGTTACAATCTATTCGTGTGTTCCGTAACCTGCCTCGCTCAGCGCTGGAAGCCATTTTACCCCACATGCAGAAGATTACCTTCGACTCTAACTCAAGGCCAATCCACTCTGAGATAAGCGAGGAGTCGCTGATCTATTTTGTTGTGCGAGGAAAGATCGCTTTGAATTTCTGCGACAAGGAAGGGAATGTCCTGCCTCTGTCTCATCGCGAAATCAAGAAGAACGAGATTTTCGGTCACGAAGCGCTCTTAGCCGGCGGAACAGTGCGTTGTACTGCTGTAGCAGTCACTAAGACCGTCTGCTTGGCAATTGCTCCTCACGCACTGGAGCTCGTGCTCAAAGAGTTTGATCACAATTATCAGGACTCCTGCTCAATCTCCCTCTCCATTCAAAAGATTGTAGAGACTAAAGAGGACATCCCGCTGGCTGCCATGAATGGAACAGACTATGAGACGATCTTTCAGGGCGGATGCTTCCAAAGCTTCACCCTTGAGCACAAGAAGGCTCTGTTCTACAACATGTTTCAAGAAGCGTACTTCCTGGGGGAAGAGGTCTTCCAGGAGATCGACAGCATGTCTTCGCTGTTCTTCATTGCGAGCGGCAGCGTAACAGTGTCAGAGGGCTCCTGCACCTCGGTGATACGTACAGGTCAGCTACTTGGGGGAGATGTCATAGACATCAGAGCTCGCCGAAAGTCGGTCAGTCGAACTTCAGCTACAGCTTCTGCTGAAAGCAGGATTTACCGCATCCGAAGTGAAGAGCTTGCAAGGCTGCTCAGCGAGGATCCCACCCTTGAGCCTGCGCTGCTGGATGCTTGCCTGTGGCAGCCAGCAAGCTCGCTCGACGAGAGGGATGAGTTTGAACTTGACGTCTCAGCTCAAGATTCTCCCCAGTCTCCACGGGACAAGGACACAACACCGCATGCGGCAGAGACCGCCGCTCTGCTGCACGGCGATGGCTGTCTGGATGGCATGAACAGGTCTGAAGCTCGCAATAGCTTTCAACAGCCCAGGACCTCCATCGCGGCAAGTTTGCGGAAATCATTTTCTTCCCGCAGAGCGTCTCATCAGTCCGAGCGCTACTCGGCTGAGCCGGTTATCAAGGGAAGGCTTTCTACGGAACTTGGCCGCATCCGAAGGCAGACGTCAGTGGACATCGAGAGAAGGAAGTCGCAGGATGCGCAGGACGAAAAGCTGAAGAACCCGAGCAAGAGGCCCAGCACAAGCGTGGAGGCCGCGAGAGCGTCCGTTGAGACCCCCGAACTCCCCAACCAGATCTTGGAGGAGAACGAAATGGCCGAGGCGGTGGCTGAGGACCTCAGCAAGGACAAGAACGTTGCGCTCATGATCTGGCTCGGAATTCTCATCGACGCCATCCCTGAGTCCATGGTGATTGGCTTTATCGTCGCCGAGGGATCTCGAAACCCCCTCGTCTTCGTCATCGGCGTTTTCCTCTCCAACTTCCCTGAAGCCATGGCGTCGGCTAACACCATGAAGCACGTCGGCCTCAACACCGTCACCATCTTGCTCCTCTGGACGTCTACCTGCGTCATCACTGGCCTTGGTGCGATGTTTGGGGCCGCGATCATGCCGAGCTCGGGCTTGAGCGGAGACTTCGAGCTCTTCGTGAAGGCCATGGAGGGGCTGGCGGCGGGTGCCATGCTGACCATGATCGCTCAGACTATGCTGCCAGAAGCATGCGAGAAGGGAGGAGCCCTGACGGGAATCTTCTGCTCCTGCGGTTTTCTCTCAGCTCTGCTGGCGAAGCTCCTCCCCATATCATGAGATTCATAGGCCTCTCGGTGGCTCCGTCATCCGGATCTTCGGCGGTTAACCCGGCGGCGCGGCTATCATATCGGTCCAATATGCATGCCCCAGTGATTGAAGACGGTACCTCTTATGGCGCCGTCTCTTGTCTTCTCGCCGTATGGCCTGTGCGACAGCCAGGGCCTCCGAGCGGCCTCTATTCTCTTAATTGTCCTCGTACTGATTTTTAACTTAACTCCGAGTGAAGAAACTCTGAGTGAAGAAAGAAGCCCGATAGGGCAGCGGCACTGCGGCAGCCTGTCACACTGTCAGAGTGCCGCCGCCCCCCGGCCTCAGCCGCTGAGCCTGAGGGTGCCCGGCCACTCGCGGCTCGGACCGTCCAGAGTCCGGTCACGCCCGGCCGCGGCCCGGATCGGACGGTCGGCGGCGACTCGGATCTGATGATCGGCGCCGGACGGTCCTGGCACCGCCGGCTCACAGTTTGGGCCCTCGTCCCCGCATCGCCCAGCGAGTTGACTAAAATCATGCAGATGGTCGCAAACTTCGGCTGCAAGGCCGAGCAGTGAGATGATGAGAGGGGAGGAGAGAGGAGGGAGGGAGGAGGAGCAGCAGCAGCAGGACAGGAGCAGAAGCAGCAGTGATGGGAGGAGGCAAAGGAGGAGGCAAAGGAGGAGGAGGAGGTCAGCGGGTTCGATGGGTACTGTCTTTCCAGATATGAGGTGCAATGGCAGCGACCGTAGGCTGTACATCAGCACGATAACAGTGACATGGATGCTTGTGCAGCTGTTTGCGGCTTGACTTTGGTTCTTGCAGCTGACTTCAAGATGAAAGCTTGCTCCCTTCACCTCCTAGCTCTTGCTTTGTCTTGCGTTGCGCTGCGATTGGACGGCGCTCCTCCTCCAGGAACTCGCATCAGGCAAACGCAGTGCACGTCCTGGCCCAGGCCCCTCAACATTCTTGGCTTTGCGAACCTCTGCGCAGACATGTACATGCACCCGTGTCAGAACACGGTCTCCGTGGAGATTTACCTGGAGGGTGCAACAGACGACCTTTTCTTCCAGGTGAAGCTCGAACGCTCCTCCGTGTCGGTCTCAGCTGCTCTCAGGAAATCTCTCCGGACGAGGGAGGGTTCTGCGCGAAGCCACCGGCAACCTCTGCAGTGACCAGCGCGTGCGGAACTGACTCCATGATCTGCATGAGTTTTATCAAGGATGGTCAAGACACGCTGCACATTGGGCCGAGGTTTTTGTCCGGTAGGGAGCGGAGGATGAGAGGATCTAGTCGCTGAGATGTTTGTCAGGTTGCCCGAGTGTCACCCTCAAGAACTGCCGGACATTCCCTGGAGCTTATCTTCCGGAGATCCCGATGCAGCTTGACTGTTAGTTCCTCTCACCTTGCTTTGATTGCTCCATCCCTCCCTCCCCCATCCCCCTCCTTCGCTCGTTCCCTCCATGATGGAGAGTATGTCCAGGTTTCCAACTAGGATTCAACTGTTCGAACCTGCAAACATGCGACAAATGCATCGAAAAAGGTTCAGAGTGGCAGGAGGCTATCGAGGGAGCGTACTAATACTTCCATCAAGGGTGCGGATGGTGCAGCGAGGGAGGAGGGCAGTGCATGGAAGGAGGTCTTCACGGCCCGATGTGCTCGACCTGCGGTAGCAACTGCTCGTGCTCATGGAGCTACGGCCAGTGCAAGGTCACTTCCTGGGAGGGAGGAGTGTCTGTGTTGAGCCCTCCGTGCAGGTGCCGGAGGCTGACATGGAGAAATTTGAGCGCGACCTGAATCAGACAGCCGAGGCCCTGAAGAAAGCGACCAATGAGTGAGAAGAAGCTGCTGAGAGTTTCTTGCCTTGCTTGCTTGCTCTGTCCTGCCCACTCTCCATGTCCTGCTCACTCTCCATGTTCTGCTCACTCTTTCGGTCTCGCTGACTCTCTGTGCCAGGCTGGAGGACCTCGAGGACGTCATCCGTGACGGCAAGGCCGTAAGAACGAGCCTCGTGTTACTCAGGTTACCACGTCTGACATGCCTCGATGGGTTAGGTGGACATCTCCGGAACTTCCTACAAGTGCAAGTGAGGATGCGTCTTGCCTGCCCTGCTCGCCCTTGTGACAGCCCAGCAGGACTGATGGGCAGATGAAGAGCTCTAGAGCCATCTCGACGACCTTTGCCGTCCTGATCTGCCTCTTTACCTTCCTGGGATCGACACTCGTGGGGTACGCAACCAACCCCTTCACGCGTCCAGGTTGTGTGCCGACATGCTGCAGGTGCTACTCTGGGAAGCAAGGATACGCCGATGCCCTGTTGGAGAGGCTCTCGTCGCTGAAGAGGAGGGTGATGTCCAGGAACACCATGGACGCAGGGTCGCTCTACTCTTGAGAGCTCCACGCGTAGGAGAAGGGGAGGAGATGGTGGTGGAATGAGCCAATGTGAGTGAGAGGAGAGTCAAGGAGGAGGAGGGTAAGGGTGAGGAAGGGGATGGGAGGGAAGCGGAGGAGGGTCTAGGAGGGGAAGGAGGAGAGTGAAGGAGGAGGGAGAGAGGATGATTTAGTGTTTGTTTGACGGAGCCGTGGTATCTTGCCTACTGTTCTATCTGTGTGCTTTTAATATCTACAATGTGTCCACATTAATCTTTGTCTACGGGCATTCTGTCGATGTCAATGACGGTCTCGTAAGGGATCTGATTCCTTACAAACTTGAGCTTCACGTGCAGCTCCGTCGTCTCCCTCTGCAGACTGGTCAGCTCCTCAACCCCCGCAAACTTGTCGGCGTCACCAGAAGCCGCCTTGCTTGCTGCAGGCTCGTGATTTTCACCTGCCCCCTCGGTCAGAACAGCGAGGTGGGAGGAGAGGGCAGGGAAGGAGCGGGAAGATAGAGGGGATGGAGGGAGAGGAATGGCCGTACCTCCTCCACATGAGTGAGGATGTCTCCACTGTAGATGGCGGGATGAGCTTTGGCTGCAGAACCTTCCTTGAGGACCTGGTAGATGTGAGGAGTAGAAGAGGAGGAAGGAAAGAGAGGAGGGAGAACAAGCAAGGCAGCATGGAGCGCAGGAGGAGGAGGAGGAGGAGGAGGAGGAGGAGGAGAGGGCATCAGAATGGAGGGAGAGGAGCTACCGAGTGAACTTTTACAGCTTCTCGGGTGTTGCCGATCAAATTGAGAGCGCGTGAGAGGTTGGAGGGTTTCCAGGACTCGAGGACAAGACCGATGCCGAAAGCAGGCCTCCCTTCCTCCAGCCCCTCTCCCTCCCCCCCACCGTTTCCCTCATGCCCGTCTGCCCTGCCCTGCTCCTCCCCGTCACCTTTCGCCTCCTCCTTCAGGCCTTCTGAGTTTGACCCCTCGGTCTGTCCTCCCTGGGATAAAGGCTTCACGGAGGCACCCTCCTGTTTACCCTTTCCTCCTTCTCCTCCTCCCTCTCCTCCCTCTCCTCCTCCCTCTCCTCCTCCTTGTCTTGGATTGTTGCTCTGCGTATCTTGTTTCCTATCTGACGAAAACTTGAAGTTCGAGAACATGTTGCTGAGCAAGGACATCTGTGTCTTGTCCTGTGCCCTGTCCTGTACCTTCTTCTCCCCCTCTCCTCCTCCAGCTTCCCTCCCCTCCCTCTTCGAAGTTCCATCCTGCTCTTGCTTGCTCGCCCCTGGGATGTTAAGCTCCAGGAAGTCGAGGATGGAGCAGATGAGGAGGCCCTGCTTCCTCGTGTGATTCATGAAGGAAACCTCAGCCTCCGATGGCCCGCACGTGAGCTTCGACAGAAACCCCTTGTTCTCCTTCCTCTCCATCCTGAACGCCCTCTTGTGCTGTACGATTGAAGAAGAGGAGGGAGGAGAAGGAGAGAAGGAAAGAGGACAAGGAGGAGGGAGGAGGAGGGAGGAGGAGGAGGAGGAGGAGGAGGAGGAGGAGGAGGAGGAGAAGGGAGAGGAACAGCGTGAGACACCCTGAACAGAACTCTCTTTCAGAAGCTCCTTACCAGGCCAATCACTTGTAGGCCATTAAGAAGCACAGTGCCAGGAGGGAGAGAAGAATCATCAGCATCGTCCACATGGTAGGTGAAGGTGGGCGACGTCAGCCGCAGGATCTTGGTCTCTACCAACTTCTTTTCTCCCGTCTCCTCTAGCTGCAGGTCAGGCAGGTCAGCATCGCCGAGAGGAGCAGCAACATAGTTGCATACCATGACGACGTGCGCGCGCTCTCCGTTCTCCACTCCTGCGTTCCTGCCCCTGTGAAGCTCCACAGGAGGGACCGCTGGCCCAGGGTCCGAGCAGGCGACGAAGGTGAACCCGAGCTTTGGGGAGGAGAGGAAGTGGGTACGGGGGAGGAGCGGGACCTGGTGTCTGTCCCCTGTGGAAAGATCGAAGATGGCGACACAATCATCAGCGTCGAGCTCTGACGGCAGCGCGTCGCTGGTGGTCAGAATCCCCACCATGTCCTTGAACTGAACGTAGATCCCGCAAACTTGCTTGCTCCTCCTTCGTAGACGGCAGATAGCGTTGTTGAGCCGCACCCTCCTCTGGTAGCTGCTCAGCATGGGCTCTCGGCCATGCATGCGATGCGGGACATCCTCGGACCCAGGCTCTCCGCCCAGCTCTCCGCCCTTGGGGTCCATCGTGGGATGAGGGTGATGATGACGGGGGTCAAGGTGAGGTGAAGCCTTGGTGGAAGCTACTGGATCATCCTGCGAAAACAAATCAGCTGGGGGGGAGGAGACGCACAATGCATGCTCGAGTTCTGTTAGAGCAGCATGGGAAGAGCAGAAACGTGGTCAGGAGCATCTTGACTTTTCTTTTGTTCGCTATCGTCCAAAAGTTCACTGGATATTTCCTCCCATCCGCCATGTTCGGTTGTTCTCTTCCTCCACATCTTTCCCTCCTTCGCGCTACACAGCTTCTGTTCCTCGCCCTCGTCCTCGCCCTCGCCCTCTCTGACCTTCGCGCTTCCACAAGGTGTCCCTTCCACCATTTTTGCCTTGTCATTCTTTACTCCCTCATACAGCCCGCACGGTAGTCTCATCCCCCGCATAAAACATGGAAATGCTGCCGTGGGTATGGCCGCGGGTAGCCAAGGGAAGAGCACGAGGATCGTTCGATACATGTGATGCAGGAAGATGAAGGACGGAAGCTAGGAACACAACATGAGCGCTTCTATCTACCATCCTTTCTTTGCCACGAACCTCTTTCCGAATGTTTCCCTTTTTCCCCAAACACCTTTGGTAACTCGCATGCTAACTGAACCTTGATCCTCCTCCCCACCTTCGGCGTCTCCCCTGTGTTCTTGTGCTCTGTACCACATTGGACGTGTTGTGCAGCTGCAAGGTTGGTCATCAGTGAAGCTGTGTGCATCCGGGGGCGCCGGGCGGAAATAAGACCCTTCAAGGCGTTTAAGTGGATTGCCCCTGATTTTTGTTCCAGAGCGACCATGTCTTCGAAACAGCTTGAAGAGATTCATCGTGCATTCCAGGGGCCACCTCCTCGTCAGCTGTCCAGGTTGCCTGAGAGGAGTTGTACCGCAGGGGTTTGAAGTGCTTTTGCACGCAGGGCAGGGAAAATGGTTCTGTTTACTTGGTTAACGCTCGCTGTTGTCTTTGTTGGGTTGTACTCCCAAGGCTACTGCCAGACACCTCAATGCTGGATTCCTCTCACGGTTTGCCGATGCTGAGGATCGGAGCACTTCTAACGTTTGAGTTGCAGATTGCTGTTTGGTTCTCTGGGGTTATGATGACGATCTTTGTGGTAGGGTTGCGGGTTGTGGTGGACGAGTTGGAGGGTGACTTTGCTGCAGGCTACTGAAGGTGTTGATCCGGAGATAATGAAGAAGAAGGAATCATAGTCCGCAAGATGTACATACCTGTTCTATTCATGTTATAAATGGATGAAAAGATGCACACGTTTCTCGATTGGGCAATTGGATGGAAGTGTAAACATGCCAAGAAATCGTATGAAGCAGCCTTGTCACAACGACAGCATATATGAGCCTCAAGCTCCTGTAACTCGACCGAAGGAAAACAGCACAAGCAGCTGTTGCAACTAGTTTACAAGGTTCTGTCGATGTCATGACCAACAATGTTTAAAGAAGTGATGGAAGGGCAGCTCTTGGATTATTTCCTGATTCAATATTCCACTCTAAATTATGAAGAGGCCTTTCCTCCCTTCTTCTGCTGATCGCTGAGAACGCGCTTCACGATCTTCTGTTCCTCAATCAAGAATGCACGGATGATGCGCTGACGAACGCAAGTTCCGCATCTGTATCAGGGTGAGCATGAAGAGCATCGAATCAGTAGGGAAGTAAGCTCACCTTGCTCCACCATATGCACGAGAAACTCTCTTCATACGCTTAGTAGTTGACTTGAGCTCGCAAGGACGGAGAGCCTTGAGGCCGCGGAGAACGCATCCGCAGTCTCCGCACTTGGGGACAGAGGCGGGTTTCTTCACATACAAGATGTTGAGCCTGAGATCTCTATGAGCCACGAGCATACAGAGAGTGCCGGACAACACAAGATCAACAGGGGATGTGAAGTGGATGATAGAGGAGAGGAGAAGTGGGAGATTGTTGTTGAAATGGAGAATCAATGCGGAAACGAGTTTTCACCTGCCCCCGGGAGTCTTGACGACACGGGTCTTGTTGCTCTTAGTGTTGTAAGAGTGTCTACGCCTGATAAAGATCGTAAGTCAACAAGGAAATCAACAACCTCATGCATATCTCACGTATCTCTACTCAGATCTATGCAATACACTGCCCCAACATCACAACATATCGACTACAACGCTGCCACTTCTTGACAATCTTTTCGAGGACAACACAACATGAACAACCATGAATTCTTCACAGAACAACAACATCAACAGCAACAACTATACAGCGATCACCAAAGTGCTATCGCAAGTTATCAGTCATTCACACATTAAAGACCATCAGTATCACCGAACAAATTCTAACTGGGATAGTCTATAACGAACAACCACGCACAAGTTTCATACAAAAATATTCATGAATAAGACTTGATCAGGCACGATGTGATTCATATCATTGCAATGAGACGAACCCAACGCCCCATACTCAACTCCTAATCCTGACCTACTTCACCAGGCTATGTTTTCAAGGCAGATGGTAATAAGCCAATCATACAACAAACAAGTTCACAGCTTCCTTGAAACATCTGAATTGACCACCAGGGTAATAACTTCTTCATCGCCATTACCCCTCACACCATCACCACCACCTAATTGCCTGCACCACGTACCACACATATCTCATCATCCCCTAGCGAGAAACAACAATGCATGCATGTGAGTCCTCTGTGACATCCTCTGAATCCGCATGTATCTCATCATTTCGATATTCATCTGTTCTCTGCACCCGCACTTTCTCTCCGCGATCATCACCTGAACGTGAGCCTCGTGTCCTTCATTGTCGCCTCCTCCGCACGCACGCGCCCTCCACGCCTTTTTTTTAGGGTACCCCCCACCCCCACGACCTGCCAGTTCATCACGATGCTCCACACCCACCCCATCAAATGGATACCACCCCTATTTTTCAATGTTTACATGACGGGTGATAGACATACCCAGGGTGGTAATAAGTACCCTACCCTGTTTGTCATCGTACACTCACCCCCTATTCAGAAAGGATTTGGTACAGGTAGTCAACCACCCACAGAGTACCGTACCCAATGTAGCACGAGAGGCAAGAGTAGCATCCTACCCATGAAAGATCTGCGATTTTTCGATTGAGTCACTAAGTGAAAGAGGCAAGGGTCTCGAGTTCTCTTCCACAGACTCTGTCGTGAAACCAGACGATGCCGGCCCGGAATCTCAACCCCGGGCCCGGAGTTTTCAGTGACCCAGTGGCAACATCATCACCCTCATTCACTTTGAGTTGAGTAATCCCATCAAACTCTGGTGCCAGGTGTCCTCAGGCGAACATGGCGGACAAGATGGACACCGACGGAGACGACAAGGTGCGGCATGGCGAGCACTGGAGGAGGAGGGAGAGGAGAATCAGATATCAGACGAAGGAATGCTTGAGAGGAGAGGAGAGGAGAGGAGAGGAGAGGAGAGGGATGCAGAGAGAGAACATGTGAGGGGCACATGTGGAGGGGAAGTAGGAGGGAAACAAGATTCTTTTACAAAGAACCTGTGTGCGAGATAGAAGGAGGGGAGGGGAGGAATCTGGAAGCTGGCAATCTCAAGGGGGTAACAAGATGAGAGGCGAAGGTGTAATTGAAGTGTGGATCGAGGAGAAAGAAGAAGGGCCAATGGAGAGATCAGATATCGGATTGATGAACCCGTTGGGAGTAAGCAACAACAGTGAAGATTGAGGTTACAATACACCCAGCGATATTAGCAGACAGAGGGGGGAAATGAGTGGACCACATCTCAACAAGATAGAATGATCCTGTAGGGAGGATTCAAAGAAGGCAGGAAGGAAAGGTTTCACACCTGAAGCACTGTACCTTTTGCGTTGCCAGTACTTGAAACAAAGTCGACAGAACGCCTGACAATTTGTTTTCTTTCAGGGCCAGGGTCAGGGCGAAAAGAAGAATTTCATAAGCTCGAAAAATAAGGATGACATGTCAATCTCTACAAAGAAGAAGGAGGATTTCGGACCACTTCTTGAAGCATCGATCCCTCAAAACAGAGATTTAGCACTGAAGGAAGGCAAGAAAGCGGAGGCAATAGAAAATTTGCTCACGGTAATAGATCAAGTTGTGATTTCTGTTGGTGATATTGTGTGTTTCAGGTTGAGAAGCAAACTCGTTTGGCGGGAGATGCGATTGCGACTGGGAAGTAAGTAGAGTTACTCTTTCTTGAAATTCGATGATTGTATCCTTCCAGGGTTGCCGTTGAGATCATCAAAATCCTTTATGAGACAAAGGACTGGGAGGGTATCAACAGTCATGTTATCCTCATCTCAAAACGGCGCCAACAATTGAAGCAAGTTTTGGTCGAAATCGTGCAGGTCATTCGTGTAAAAGCAATGTCTGGATCTTGTGATATTACTTTCAGGAAGCCATGAAATACATCGATAGTACTCCAACTGAACCAATTAAGCTAGAGCTCATTCACGTACGACCTTTGGAGTGGTGGAAACATGATCTGACATTTGCTTTAGACTCTCAGAGCTGTAACTGATGGGAAGATTCACGTTGAGTTGGAAAGAGCTAGATTGACAAGAACGCTGGCAAAAATCAAGTACAGAAGTCTTCTATTTGAAATCTGAGTGTCTAAAATTGCGTGACGAACAGGGAGGCAGAGGGAAAGATTGCAGAGGCTGCTGATCTCATGCAAGAAGTTCAAGTAGAAACGTACGATTTGTGAATGATGTTGCGTTGTTGTCCCGTAAACGATTTTTTTTATCAGGTATGGGTCGATGGAGAAGGAAGAAAAAGTTGATTATATTCTCGAACAAGTCAGATTATGCTTGGACAAGGGAGATTACGTTAGAGGAGCAATCGTCAGCAAGAAGATTTCGTCCAAGACATTCAAGGATGATCAGTTACAAGAATTGAAGCTGCGGTATTAGTTGAATCGTATTTTCATGTCACGTTGACGGGGATCTTGCTTTGCAGCTACTATGAGCTCCTTAACAGAATCGCGGACGAAAAAGATGAATACTTTGAAATGGCACAGAACTTCCATGAAATGTGGAATACCCCCTCACTTCAGGTACGCAAGCGAAGCCTCAACCCATGGAGCATGGCTAATTCGATGTCCTTTCAGGATAAGCCAGAGAAGTGGATGCCGTTGTTGAAGAGCGTCATTGTGCTGCTGATTCTTTCACCTCATGATAACCATCAAAACGACTTCCTTGTTCGATTGCTGGAAGAGAAGAAACTAGAGCAGATTCCTCCTTACAAGGTACCAAAACTCTTCCTTTTGAATGATTTCTTTATGATAGAACGATTTCAGGTCCTTTTGTCGCATTTCAAGACTATGGAGCTTATTCAGTGGTCGTCGTTCCAAGAATTGTACAAGGCTGAGCTGCAAAGCCATGCTGCGTTTCAGGTACTGTGGAAGATGTTTGTTTTCTTTGGCTGAATTTTTGTAGGGTGATAAGGGTAAGAAGCGATGGGACGATCTGCACGCAAGGGTTGTGCAGCACAACATCAGGGTAGTCTCGACCTACTACACGAACATCCGTATGGCTAGACTGGCACAGCTCCTTGAGCTGTCTCAGGAAGAAGCGGAGAAGTACGTGTGTGACATGGTCATACTTGTTTTTCATCCATTTTTCAAGTTTCTAACTCACGATGCAGGTTGTAGCCGGATCGTTGTGGTGTCGCATTGACCGACTGAAGGGAATCGCTACCTTTGCTCCTACAAAGGACCCAAGAGACACCCTCAACAGGTATTAGTGCTTTTGACAGCTGCATTGCTTTCTTGACTTGGCGATCCTTTAGCTGGAGCAACAATATTTCCGAGCTTCTTGGCAAGGTAATCAGAGTATTCAAGTTATTGGACACGAGCTTACTATGCCTCAGGTTGAGAAGATATGTCACCTTATCCACAAAGAAACTATGCTTCACAACGTCATTAAGCAGTCTTGATCCCCTGCTTTTGAGAGTAAATTTCTCTGATTCTTGTGCATTTCTATCTTTATCCTTTGTGCGACACTTGTAGCTCTTACAAGATCAATATTTAAGTTTTCTCTTGTACCTCTTATCATCACAAAACCCCAAAGTATCTTCTCTGCTCCTCAGCCGTCTTGTCGTCTTCTCCAATTACACATCGACACATCATAATTCTATTTCACATACCCATCTTCTTCTCGTCTTGAGAAAATTCAGCCTCTACAACCTTCTTCTCTGCGCTCTCACTGTGTCCAAGGCTCTGTGACCTGCTCGTTAGTCTCCCACCCACCATAACGAGCAACGACCTTCTCTGGTGAGATGATATCCCTGACTCGCTGCTTGATCTCTTTGGCTTCAGGAAACCTTCCTTCCGTCTTCCTGCTCCATATCGTCTTTCCATTCAACCTGTTGTCACCTTCACGACCTTGAGAGAGTGAGCGCCCCCCCCTTCACCGGATGTCAAACACCCCGCCCGGCCGGACCCGAGATGGGACAAGAGCCACACTTCCGATGTCGGCCTCGAACGTACTACTCCAACCATAAGAGAATACCCAGCTGAAGTCAATCACGTCTCACGTCAACAGCTCCTGGGCCAGCCAAGCTCCTCGCAGCATCCACCTACAACCGGTGCAATACCTGCATTACGCTGGTGAGGTCTGATACGGGCAACATGAGCGACGAATACTCTATCTCCACGATGGGCAACTTGGGCATGTACTCTCCACTCTGATCGCACATACTGTAAAACTTTGTCTGTGGTCGAATCGACACCCCGCGCTCGCGATGCAGTCGAGGAGCAAATGCTGAGATCTGGAAACCGGATGTAGTTCCTGGAAACATGACTGAGCTGCAGTGCATGGGGGGCAGAGAGGAGGAGGGAAGGATGGAGGTATGCTGTGGAGGTAAGGAGCCAGGAATGAGGGTGGTGGAGGAGAGGAGTTCTCACCCAGCATGGCTAGCACAAGAAGAAACGACGGAGCGCCCATAGCGAGTCGGGGAGAATTCCAATGGGACACATGGTGGGGTAATTTCCACACAAAGGGGGGGTTGTGGGTAGCCTGCGTTGGGGACGGGTGCTTCTGATATGGAACAGGGGGGTAAAGGTGGTTGTACTTGAGTAAAACTAAAATTATTATAATACTTGGTACTCTTGTTGTTTGTAACTTTTACATTAATTGTAGAGGGTCTATAAGCTACTATATTTGACTTTTTAAAGTTAATTATAATTAAGAAGATACAATGCATAAATTATTATTTATTTCATATAGAAATTACATTTATTTAAAGTAATATATATATATTTCTGTTTTAGTTTTACAAGAAGTTGAGGTGGCGGCAGCGAAGAGGCGCGTCGCCATGCAGTCGCAGGCGGCTGCTCAGCCATGGCGAGCGGCAGCAGCGGTGGCAGGTGAGCTCATGGTGGACAAGGGAGGAAGATAAAAATATGCGGCTTCATCCTGCACACACTGCTGACTTATCTCTCTGCTCACGATCCCTCCTACCTCCCGTGGCTCCAAGATGTCGTTTGTGTGTCTTCTCCTGCCACGTGTAATCTGTGTGTTGTCATCTGATGCTCGGAATCTCATTTTGTCTTGTCATTTTGGTTGTGAATACCATGTTGTGCCTCGGAGACATGTTGAGAGCACTCACAGCCCACTGAAACATCTTGCGCTGATTGACGATGTTTCACAGTTGTGCTGGTGTCGGTCGGCATCGTCGCGGTCTCTCTCTCTCAGAGTCGAGCGGGAACAACCGAGCTTCTCTCAGGGGACAGTATTGATTTCACAACGGCCAAGGGCCCCAATGGGGAGCCGCCGATGCACTTGTCTGGACAGATCGGTACATGACGTGACTAGTCCCTACAGCATGTTTTGACGATTTGCGAACAGTGTCTCTATCCGATGAATCAGCTCCATCATCATCCACTTCTACCATTGGAATTGCTCAGCCCACTCAGCCTCCAGGCTATCCATACCCCATGCCTGGAGGAGTCCCTCCGCAAGTGCAGGTGTCCATTCCTGCTCCCCAGGTCAGACTGGTCGCACTAGTACCTACCTTGTGACCTTGTCGATTCCCTGCAGATTGTTCCGCAGACTGTAACAGTCAGTGGTCCTTTGGACAATCTCCTCAAGTCCTTGACGGCGGACATTGCTCAAGATAACCTTGCGATCGACGCCCTCAGGACCCAGGTGAAATTGTTGCGATCGAATTCCTGCGATGCTGACTCTTCTGCGACGTGAAGGTTGCCACTCTTGCCGCCGCCAACATGGAGCTCCAGAAGAAGTACGATTACATGGCATCAAAGCCTCCTCCTCCTGGCCAGACCGGACCACCGGGAGTTCGTGGTCTCACCGGTCCTCCTGGACCCCAGGTACTGACTCGATCTGGAAATAGCACCGCAGTTTCCTTGAGGTGGCGCCGTTTGCTGACCTTGTGATTGAAAGGGCTTCATGGGACCTCCAGGATTCACTGGCCCTCCCGGACGTCCAGGAATTGCAGGGCTTCCTGGACCGATGGGTCTCCCTGGCAAGGTGTGAAGAAGAGTCTCCTGTTTGGCAATACTCTTATCCTCGATACAGGTCGGACCTCCGGGCAAGCAGGGACCCTTTGGTCCTCCTGGAGTACCTGGACAGCCGGGTACAGCCTCCTCCTTGTTGCTCGTCCCTTTGTCTTGTCCTGCCTGTTCTTCTTTGTTGAATCGGTTTTGCAGGCATCACCGGACCACAGGGTCCTGCGGGACCTGAGGGTGAGCGTGGCCCACAGGGACCAGCTGGTCCTACTGGACCGCAAGGATTGCGGTAAGTACATTTCAGAAGATGTGCGAGCCCAAGTGCTGACCGGTCTGGCAGTGGTGCTGTTGGACCTCCGGGCTTGACTGGACCTATGGGAACTCCTGGTGTGTGGCCATCACCGACCCGTCAAGAGCTGGTTGTGAGAGGTTGATCGTCAGGTACCCCTGGAGCCCCTGGATTGCCCGGCGAGGTTGGCCCGATGGGTCCCCCGGTAAGAGAGTTGGCATCGCGCCCCGCGAGGACTTGACTTGGGGCTCTGCAGGGTGCCATGGGAAAACCATTGAGGGTTGCAGTCTATTTTGGAAAGTACACGGACTCTACTCGCAATGGACGTCTTCTGGTTCAATCCTTGGTACATGATGGCAATTGTGAGTTCCATTGAATTCTGATTCACGTCTTAATAGGTCCGTTCCGCCGGAGCTGTTGTGACCTACTTCTATGGCTTCACCAATTCTGATCTGGGACGAGCTTACCAAGCACAGGTGACAGCAACATCAGTGTGATCTTACATGTTTGACGCGCGTATCTTCAAGGTCATTGTCATTCCTGAGATCATGAACGGAATGCCCGACGTTATGCCTGATGCTGCTAGAAGTATGTCCCAGGTGAACTTGCAGTCTCTACGTTCGACCAGGTGCTGACGGTGCTCGATTCCAGTACATTGAGGCTGGAGGAAAGATCATTTTCGCTGGCTCCAAGAATGGTGCAGGTGACGGACTGCTCTTGGGTGCAATGTTGTAGCTGACTGGACTCACAGCCTTCATCAACTCTATCTTCGGAACCTCGTTGGTGTACGCATTCATCACGATGCCAACGACAAGAACTGGAGCTGCAAGTGGAACTAGATTCATGCGGGTCAGCCCTCTGCTTCTTGGTGTCGTGCCTCGCTGATGTTCTCTGGCAGGTGTCTGGTCAACTACCGGCATTGCAGGCCGTGTACGGAGTGACCGACCTGAGCTTGGGTGGCCACAAGCCTGGACAGGCAAGAAAATTCAGCCAAGTTCTGTCAATTCGAGCGTGACATTTCAACAGATGTTGTACTGCATGTACGAGGCAGAGGGCGCATGCAGCGTGTTCAGGATGAACTATGGTGAGTGGCTTTTGGACTTTCGCTCGCCTTGTGGCTTATTCCTCGAACAGGGAAGGGAGTTATGTACTATCTCGGCTTCGACTGGTACAACAGCCCCCGACAAGCCGACACATCACGGTAAGGACTTGCCTGCCCTTCGCTCTTCCCATGTCTGCCTGATTTCTACCATCTTTGCCGTTCCCTCTGATCGAGCTCTTCGTTCTTTCTTCATCGTTACGTGCCCTTCTCCCCCCTCCCCCCGTTCTGCTATCTCTGTTCCGAGCATCACTGATCCAATATGCAGATGGGACATGGCGCTCGGGGCTGCTGTTCTCCCGGAGTATTCACCTTAGATTGTAACATTCTCGCTCTTCTCCGGCATGAGCCTGTTGCTATTAATTCTTTTCCCGCGCTAAAAAACAGTAAAAACCGTCCTACTCTGATCCAATGGGGGCAAGACACAAAGGAGTTACATGCTTTAGGCTTGCGTGTGCAGTTTTGAGATGTTTTTCATTGCCAAATTCATTGCCAATTTCATGTCAAAAGGTGCTGATAAGCTCTTGCAAGCGGTTAACCTCCTCGTTCATCTGCACCAACATGTCCCTGTCGATCTCAAACCTGCAGCAGCAAGAATGTGATCGGAAAAGAAAGGGCGTCAGAGACGTCGGTCGAACTCACTTGACAGTGTTGGTCTTGTCTTCATCTCTCGCGTTGGACATGTTCAACTCCATAATGGCGCAGGGCTGGGAGGAAGGGACGGGCCGATGTCAGTCGAGGTTGAGGGGGAGGAGGAAGGGAGGAGTCAGATGCGAATCAGGGGATACACCAAGGAGAAGGCAGGGGACGGTCGTGCTTACCTCATTCAGATCCTCTACATATCGGCTCTTGGTGCTTACATCAACCCTCCTGCGATGTTGAATCAGTCTCCGATCAGGGCACTCTCTTGCAGACCATGAAAGTCGCTTCAAGTTGTTCCCCCAGAAGCTCTGCTTCGTCGCTTCTTCGCGTATCTTCGCACAAACCCCTTTCATTCACAGACAGCGGGCAGGAATAGCCCTCAACCTTGGGTTCGTTCCTCCTCCATATCCTCAGCAAGGCTTCGGCGACCTCGGCACTAACCTCAGCCTCCTGCGGCATCTCCCGTCATGATCTACCAGGAGGGTAGGAGGGTGAGCACCTTCACATGGTCCTCCATCATGGACATCGTCCACGCCCCTGCGCTTGCTCTCGATAGGATTTCACCACAGACATCCATGTTCCCCTCCACGACTGCTCAACAGCATCAACAAGAAGTTCAGCGAGCATGTTCACATGCTCTGACCGGATCTCTCCGCGGGATCCTCGGGGTCCAGCAGGCTCTCAACCTTAGGGTCCATCTCTATCTGTCGTGCCATGAGTCCAAGGCAATACGCCGCAGGGAAGCATCCGCAGAAGAATGGTTGTCACCACCCTACCTCAAACTTGGTGATCCCACCATGCTGCTCCTGCACCTCTCTTATCCTCCTCCCCCTCCTTCTTCTCTTCTCTTCTCTTCTCTTCTCTTCTCTGTCTGTCTCTCTCTCTCTCTCTCTCTCTCTTCTCTTCCTCCTCTTCCTCCCTCCCCTCCCTCCCTCCCTCCCTCCCTCCCTCCCTCCCTCCCTCCTCCTTCCTCCTCCCTCCTCCTCCTCCTCCTCCCTCCTCCTCTCTCATCTCTCCTCCTCCTCCTCTCTCATCTCTCCTCCTCCTCCTCCTCCTCCTCCTCCCACACCATCGTGGTTCCTGCCACCTCATCTCCACCATTGCCTGGTATCTAAACCCCTACAGAGCTAATCCCTCATTCTACCACCCCTTCGAACCTCCGCTCCCCAGTGTACCCCTACCTACACCATATCGTGCAAGTACCCACCCTCCTTACTCTATGTTCCGTACTTTTGACCCACCCCCAGTGGGAAGATCTCGAGACCTTTTGTCTGCTTTGCTCACACCCCTACCCCCTTCTTTCCTTCTTGATACCCCTCAATATGTCAGGAAGGACTACCCCACCCTCCGGGGCACCCACTCCTTTCTGTACCCCTTTCTTTCATAGTATTTGTACCCCTTTCCATAAGGGCCGTAGACTACCCACTACCCCCTTTCTCTCTGTAACCTCAATGGGTGGTCAGAGAGCCCAAATAGTACCCTCAACCCCCTTGGATATCTTGTAAAGAGGGGGTGGTAAAGAGGTCTCCGAGTTTCGGTTTCGCCATGGGAGTGCGGAAGGCAGAAACTTTTCATGCAGAGGCGGGAGAGGAAGGGAGGGAGACGATGATGGCAATGAAGATGATGAAGAAGATATGGAGGAGAAACAGGACGTACCAAGAGTAGAACGCAGGAAGATCTTGAGGAGAGGAGGGGAGGGGAGGACAAGGAAGGTGAGGGAAAATCAAGAGAAGGTAAAAGTGGGACTATGGCTTGTGTTTGAGAGAAGGAAAGACATACATCTTCAAAGGAGCGCTTCCTTCCCGTCCTTCCAAATATTCTGGTATGTCATTTCGCCATTTCGCTGACTCTGATTGTAGTTGTCGTCGCTCAACCCATCGGGAAGCATCCATGATAACGCGGAGGGAGAGGGTCAGCACGGGCAGGTCGAACAGGAGTGCTGCCCGCGATCTTCAGCAGCAGGAGGAAACTGCTCATTCCTCTCCTCCTCAGTCTGCATATCAGCTTCCGAGCACGAGGAGGAGGGAGAAGAGGGATGAAGGGAGCGAACAAGGTAGTACGACAGCGAGTCGAGAGAGGGCGAGGACAGGGTTGGTCAAGTTTGAGAAGGCAAGCGACCTGGTTCGCAGTCAGGTCGAGATGGGCACGGCAAGGAGCTCTCGTCGACGCTCTCTTCCCCTTGCCCTGGAATCGCTCTTGTTCCGCAAGGTGCGCAGCCTGCTGTTGGAGGGACCGTTGACTCAGAGGTCATTCTGCTCCCCAGGATCAAGAGCTCACGCCTCAGGAGGTCTCGCGCGTCTTCTATGATGCAGGAATTCGGTGAGATACGAGGAGGAGGAGGAATCCTGATCCTGATCCTGATCCTGATCCTGCTCCTGGAACAGAACTGTTTAGGGTGGACATTATCATAAGCAGGAGCAGAATACGAAAATGGGCCTCGAGGAGAAAGGAGGATGGTTGGATTGAAAGGAGGGAGGGAGATGTAAAATGCAAGAGGAGGAGGAGGGGTAGGTCTTGAAGGTTTCTTTGATTTCCTTGCAGGATCCCGGAAAACTCAGCGAACGAGATCGTAGAGCATTACAAGTTGACAGACGTTGAGTCAGGTTGACAGCCTGGAATGCTTCCTTTCGAGCCGTCTTGTCCTTTCTACCTCCCTCCTCCTCTTCACTCCCTCGCTCCCTCGATCCATCCCTCCCTCCCTCCCTCCCTCCCTCGATCCATCCGTCCATGTTTGATTTCCCTCCATCTTCTCTCGCTGCTGTCTTTCCCCTGCGCTCCTCCTCTTCACTCCTCCTCCCTTCCCTTCCCTCTCCTTCTCCCTTCCCCTCCCTCTCTTTCCGCTCCCTCTTCTCACTTTCCCTCAGAAATGGAGCGGCAGCTGCTTCTGCGGAACGCGCTGGAGATAGCAGAGCTGAAGAGCACACCAAGACTTCTGACGACAAGCTCTGGGTCAGAAAGGGGAGGGAGGGAGGGAGGGAGAGGAAGGGAGGGAGGGAGTGAGGGAGGGAGGG